AGTAAATGAGCCAATAAATGGTTTCCGTGGTCACTGTCAAACCAGCAATAACAGTCGTTAAAATCAAGCCAAGCGTGAGCGGTTTTTCTATGTTATGTAGCCGGAGTTTGAAGTAGATTCTCCAGCTTCTGTTTCGGATGTGATCTTAATCCCCTCCAGCCACCGGAAGCGCTAGATAAAGCCGAGGTTGCAAAGTGCGTCACATCGCGGAGCAGCTGAGGATAAACGGAGCTCGCTTTGCGCCGACACTCTCCACTTTTCTGTTTGCACAACAAACCCGAGCTGACGTCTCCGCACCGCCATGGTGAAGATCGCTTTTAACTCGGCTCTGGCGCAGAAGGCGCTGGGCAAAGATGTGCCGGCCGCTGTGAAGGTGAGCTAGCGGGTTGCAGTGCGGTGTCTGAGCCCGGTGTGCGTTTTTTAGCCTCCCCTATAGCAGGCCTGCACCGGCCGCAGACCGTTAGCTCTGAGCGTGGACTTTCTCCATGTACATTTGCATAGAGGCTTTATGCGTGCTCATGTATATTGCAGATAGAATATTCAGTGGGTTGCAGTGTTTTTCGCATAATGCACAGAGGATCATGTTGCACCTGATGCAGCACACAAGTTGGACCGCCCATCTCCTGAACAGCTGTCCTGCAGAGGCCAAAGATTGAATGGGATTATAGGATTCCTGAGTCAAAGAGCTGTATAGGTTGATTGTTGACATTCAGTGCATATAATAGTATAATTATTAACTGTTGAATTGCTGACAGTATTGTGTGCATCTGTGTGTGTGTGTGTGTGTGTGTGTGTGTGTGTGTGTGTGTGTGTGTGTGTGTTTGTGTGTGTGTGTTTGTGTGTGTGTGTGTAGGATCCTGAGCTGGCCTCTGCTCCAGCAGGCAACGAGGGCTCCACAGGTCGCTGTCTGCTCACCCTGCTGGGCATCGCCTTCATCCTCAGCGGGCTCATAGTGGGGGGAGCATGTCTCTATCGATATTTCACCCCAAAGGTTTGTTGTGTGTGTTAGCTTGTGTTTTATTACAGGTGATATTAGTCTTCCCATTATTATGAGGCTATGTTGAAGAAATGTAATAGTTGTGTCCTATCTGACACTTTGTCAAACAGCCACCTTCACATTTGATTGTGATATGACTCAATATCCTGGCTACACAATTAGAAATCCTCCGTCCAGGCTGCACATTAGTTTAAATTTGCTATATTAACATTACAAAATACAGAATACACCAAGGTGGACAATCATGGGATGTATATACCAGATTGAACCATTTAATGAATTACAGCAGTTTTGAGTGTCCTAGTGGTTAAGATACACGTCATGTACAGTAGCTGTAACACTATGGGTTCGATTCCAGCTGTGGACCTTTTTTGCATGTCATACCTCTTTCACTTGACCTGTGTTTTCTGTCTCTTTCTACACTGTCTAACAAAGACAGAATGCTGGAATACAATCTTTCAAAAATGTCACTATGACCAGAGACATGCAGGCGGAGAGAGGAGGGGAAATGTTATTTAAGTTTGGGCAGAATTATTAAGGCTGTACATGACTGCTGACGAGACACTCTTGCTTTGGTAGGAAACAAAGATTGCTGACTCTTGCATGCTTTCGTCTTCATAGAAAGTGCAGACTTCACCTATTTGAATTTTGCTGTGTTGTCAGTGGGAGGGTCTCGCATTCACTGTAGCTTCTCTGTGTGCCCATTGGGGTTTTTCCTCTCATGCAAATGAGTCAAAGCCTAAAACATCTTTATTAAAGTATTCATACAATGCATAAACACCTCTTAGCTCAAATGGAATTCAGCTTTGTTTAGGAGATTCGTGTTATACACATATTCTGATATTAAATACTAAACATTCTTCTTCCTCTTGTTAAAGCAACAAGTTCTTATAAGAAACATTTTGGTTATTTACCTCATATCAGTTGTTTCCTCACATCTAAACTATAACATTTTAGTAACACAAAGATTTTTATCTCATAAAACTATATATTAATTGCATGCTTGCAGAAATATACACAGTACCCAAAAGATCACATTATAACACATTACAACTAGATTCAATACTGAGTCTGTTTTCTGTCCTCTAGTGGGTGAAAATCATTTCTTGCAGCTTTAAGCTTCATTAGCACTGCTCCTTTAGTCCTGTCTTTTGTCCTACATTTTTTTGGGCTTTTTTATGCCTTTATTGATAGTGCAGTAGAGAGAGAGACAGGAAATGGGGAGGCAGAGACAGGGGGAACCGGGGCCGACTGCAGCGAGGACTGTAGCCTCTACATATGGGGCGCCTGCTTAGACCACTTCGCTACACGACGCCCCCCTTTAGTCCTGTTTATGTCGTGTGTCATGTTTGAGAGTCTTAAAGAACTCAACTGGCCCCCACTGAAACCCATCACGTGCTTTGGCTCCCCCTGGCAGCCACAAGCCGCTGCAGAGATGCTGCTCCAGATTTATTTCTGTGAAAAAGCTGGTGCTGTTTGTAAAACCTGAGACAGTGACTGAGCAAACAGGTAGACGCACTGCAGAGAAACCACTGGCTGCATAGATTTTGGCATTTGAGGTTGCAGAGTCAGAGACCGACTTTAAGTCGGTTTAACAATAACAAGGTATGTTGGTGGCAGATGTTTTTTTTCGCTCCCCATGTACACATGACCACATGCAACCTCAAAGCGTGTGTCTATAGAAAGGGTTGGTGCTGATTTTCCGAAGGTTGAAATAAAAGTGGATAAAGTGAAGAACATAGGGGCTTTAAAAGAAGTAAATAAACACATTTGATGACAAATTAAGGCTTTGAATTTGATCTGTCTTTATGTTTATCAAAGTGATGTAATTTGCTCTCACTCTGGCGCGTCTCCTTCAGAGGCTGTATCACGGAGCCATGCAGTTCAATGACGTGTCACCCGGAGCTGGAGGAGAGAGCCAGCCGTACTACCTGCCGCGGGTGGAGGAGGAGGTGGAAATCTCTGACAGCATGGCCGTCATCAGCGTCCCCCCTCCCCGCTTCAGACCTGGAGACCCTGCTTACATCCTCCATGACTTCAACAGGGTGAGCATAAGGAAAAGTCACACACTGAATACCTCACCCACAATGCTGTAGATATTCCTGTTAATTCCTGATTACTGTGCGTGTTTGTTAAGTAGAAGCTGACGGCATATCTGGACCTGACTCTGAGAACCTGCTTTGTGATTCCTCTGAACACCTCGGTGGTCCTGCCCCCTCAGGACCTCATTGACCTCTTCTCACAGCTGATGGTGAGTAGTGATCTTCAGGGTGCTACCGGGATCTGAGGATGCAGCTGCCAATGTAAGAGAAGTAGTTAGCTTGGATGATATTAGAAGAACTATAGTCACACTGTACTCTCACTAATGCTGAGGACTACATATTACCTGGGGAAATCCAGGGATTGGTAATACTTCTAGAGATTGAATCCTGTGTAATTCCCTTTCATTGTCTTTAGATATGAAAAGGGTATCAGTAGAATATTGGAGACTAAAGCTGTGTCTCAGGTCCATACTACATATAACACATACAGTACAACATGTTATACTAACAGGAAATGATCAAATATGCGTGATGTAGGATGTGAATCAAATAGCCACTTTGGAAAGCTTTGTTATTCACCATCACCCACAATTAATTTTTTTCCAGTTTTGAGTAAGTCTTCCGGTCCCTTTGATTATTACATCGTTGGAGAATAATGTGTGCAACAGCACACTCAAAAAAAATCACCCATATTTATACTGCATACTGTATACTTTGAGTATATGTTATTTTGTCACTTCTCTAGTGTGAACACACAACATACTCACACCAGCTTAGAATCAGTATGTAGTAGGGAATTTGGGCATGGCATTAAAGTCTACAGCCCTGCTAGCAGCTGCAGCTCTGTGAGGGTTTATCTAGGCATAGTGGTACACAGAGCTAAAGTCAGCATGTTAACATGCCAATGTTTGCAGTAAACACAAGAACTTTATTAGACCGTCATGTTTTGGCTTGTGGCCTTCATCAGGGTCATCACAAAACATTTCACAAGTAAGTAAGTAAGTTTTGTTGCGACCCTGATGAAGGCTACAAGCCGAAACACGTCGGTCTAATAAAGTTCTTGTGTTTACAGCAAGTGTTGCTGCTTTTTCCGTTCTCCATGCACCTTGGAAGTTAGTGAAGTTGTGCCAGAAACCTTACTCTTTTTCTACTACATGCCAATGTTTAGCAGATGTAATGTTTACCCTGTTCACAATCACCATTAGGTTAGCGTGTTAGCATGCTAACCTTTGCTAATTAGCACTACACACAAACTGCAGCTGACACTGTGATACGTTAGGTACATTGTTTGGTCATGAGCTAAATTTTGATGTGATGATGGTGCTAAGTATAACGTTAAGAGGTTGCTAAACAACACAAAGGAGAACCACATGGTGGTGGAGTGACCAACAATAGCGTTTGGTGTTTTGAGTTTTAATGAGAGTAGCAAATGTTTCATTAAATTTCAAAAAATTATTTTCACTGAGGTGTCCACAATGTCATGTTGTAAAACATTTGGCATTTGGTATGTGGTGGTCCAGTTATCAAATGTGAGTATGTAGTGTGAAAGCATTTCACAAAATGCGGAAGTTTGGGTATGACTCATCCTTCCCACCCTGAGTTTTCATTCTTGTTTGCTGTTGTGTCCACTGAGCTGCTTTTCTGTTGAGGAACTTATTAAAGTAAACATGTATTATAATGTATTATAAGTCCTTCACGATCCGTCCTCTTTGTCCCAGTCCGGCTCTTACCGCAGCTACCTGGTGCACGAGGATTTGGTGGTGACAGAGCGCATTGATGACATCAAACCTCTGGGCTTCTACATCCGCCGGCTGTGTGATGGAAAGGAAACGTACAGAATGCAACGTCGTGCCAGTCTGCCAGGTATCGATGTAGTGCATAACCAAATCTCATGACATTTTGTCACGCATGTGCATCTGGTTTCACTTGTTAATGTCCCCCTCCACCATGATTTGAATTACAGCACGTGAGATAGGCATGCAATGACAGTCTGTTGAGTAAGAGAGGGAGTATTACAATCATACTGGCACTACAAATATGACTAACAAGGACAGGCTCTGGGCTTGTTTAATACACATTTTACCATATTACCAATACTGAATTTCTTCTCTTTGATAATTAAAACACAAACACGTACCTCCTTCCTAGCAAAAATAAACATAAATTTCAGTTCAACTTGAAAAGGTGTTGAAAATGTCTCAAACATGTCGACTAATGTTTGTGTATCTCTGCGTCTGTCAGGTGGAGGCATCCACAAGCGCTCTGCGGACGAGTGTTTCACCATCCGCCACTTTGAGAACAAGTTTGTGACTGAGACCCGGATCTGCAAGGCTTGATGGGAAAGCATGAGCGTAGGTCTGAGAGAGAGAGAGAGAGAGAGTAATGAAGGGAGCCAGAGTGAGAGAGAGTGACAGAGTTGATGGGAGTGGGTGCTGGAGAGAACAACTTTCAGCAGAAAGTTACTTTTGTATAAAACCCTAACCCCAGTTTTTGCCTCCCTTGCTTTAACCCCAGTGATAAGTGAATTTAAGTTCCAGCGTTATAGCCTAGCCCCCCTCCCCTGCTGTATTCCCCTGAACCTGTATAAGTAGCTCATAGCTCCCTTGCTCAATTATATACTAGCTAGTCTTGTACCGATAACCAGCGTCAACCTGCTAACTAAGGGTATAATTAAGTTTCATTTGTTCTGTTGGTTTTTGTTCTGTTGCTCCCTGCAGACTAATCTTATCGTTACTGTGTTACAACATCTGGTCTCCTCCAGATAAGAGTTGCTAGTCATTTTACTGAATATCCTCGTGATACTGAGAAGTCATTCATATCAGACCTGTCTGTGTGTCAGCCTACTGTTCCCACTCTTAATGGGGTTTATAGAGCAGCCTTGATGTTACAGTGTTTTATAGCATTAGTCACCCTGGAGAGTTGTGGTACTGTACAGTTACAGTGCACCTGTATTATGTTGGTCGTTGTTTTGTTTTGTTTTTTTTTTTTTGAATGGATGGTACCAGAGATGCACAAGCCCAGTCTCTCAGTCACCACTCTGTAGATATTTCCCAGAGTGCCCCGCTGCTCCCAGAGGCCTCTGCTGTCCTGGTGTGTGATGATTCCATGTAAACCTGATGGTGAACAGCCCAGCACCCTATACAACCAGTGTATGTGTTTGTGTTGAAACCTCATTTGTGATAATAAACTTGAAGGATGGTTGATGAGCTGAAGGAATGTATGAGCTAAAGGGAAATTTCACCAAATTTGACTCTTGTTTTTGAATTCTTATTTATAAATTTGTAGTCCCATCACATGGAATTACCTTTACTGAGACCATAAGAAATAAGTTCCTGTAAGTTCTTTTTGAACAACAACATATATTAAAATTGTGACAGGAACAAAGTATCTGCATAATTCTTTTATTTGGTTTTAAAAGTCAGAAGAAAAAAATGGCCTTTTGCTAAATAAAGTCATTTTCAAAAGTTTCCCACGCAATGTCTGCACAGAGAGACAATCAGACAGGAAGTGTGCTTGTACAAATGTGTTTCTGTCTCAGCTTTTTAACTGAATATCAGAAGATTAGATAAAAAAAACAATGTTGTGTGCAGCTACTGAACTGAACTTAACTTTGTTGTTGAATAAAGTTGCATTTCTTTACCTACTGAATATCTTGACAATTGGTTTTTATTAAAGCACCAACGAAAGCAGCACTTTAGAAGGCCAGAAATCACCCTTTTATCCAACTCTGCAAGCTGCTAGCCTATCATAAAACTGGATCTAGACCTCAAATGTAGCAGACAAGGGGACTTTTCCTGTATGTGGTATTTCCCCATGCTCATTAGAGATGTTGGCACTTGTGGCATGTCCATGCTTCATAACAGGAACTGCTCACTCTTCACCAGGCCAGTACAAATTTAGAACAGACACATTTTTATTTTAAAAAAATAAATACAAAAAAATCATCCTCTGTTGAAACATATTTTTTACATACTGGTTTGCACGTAAATTATATTTCTGTAGTTTTTAGGAATGCATAGAAATTATCTGTGGGTTTAGTGGTTGAGATAAAATAGTCGCTCCTTCAACAAGAGATTAGACTGTAGTCTACTCATCCTCTGCCCGCTCTCCTCCAGTTATGCAAGACAGACGCCTGCTGAAAGTCATGCTCTCTGGTATCTCTGGCTTGCTCAGTCGCCTCCAGAATTCATCAGTTGTGAAATAGTACATGAGCGGGTCCAGGCTGCAGTTCAGACTGGCCAGACAGAGCGTGACGGGGTGGCATCGCAGAATCAGGTCCCTGAGGGAACAGCTGCTCACAGCGTTGGCTTTGACCAAGAAGTCCAGGGGCATGGTGATATGGTAAGGAGCAAAGCACAGTAAGAAGACCACGGCGCAGCTTAGTACCATCCGGAACGCCCTCCGCTTCTCCCCTCGGTCATGAATTGCCCCCGCTGTCGGGTCCCGAAGGCTCCCAGCAGTTAGACAGGAGCAGGCTAACACCAGGATGAGGGGGATGATGAAGCCCACCAGCTCCGCTATGATGAGGAGGGCCCAGGCCCCTGGAGTACTGATATTCCTCATGGGCAGCTCTGAGAAACACACATGTTCACCATTGTTTTGTTCAGATTTGGGGTTCCTCAGCAGAGGGAACGGCAGACAGGCCAGGCAGACCAGCATCCAGCCACTGGCACAGATAAGCATGTCCCCTTTTCGCTTGGACGAGTTGTACCTCAGCGGACGCATGATGAGCTCACAGCGACGCACGCTGACACACACCAGGAAGAAGATGGATGCGTACATGTTGACATACTTGAGATAGAAGCAGATCATGCACAGAGGATGACCAAAGGGCCAGGTGTTGTTCAGGTAATAGTAGATCCGCAGGGGCAGAGAGAGGACCTGAGGAGAGCAGAGAGTGTCAGCATGGCTGTAGAAGAAGAAAAGCCTGTTATCTTTAGATCATCTGCTCCTACTGTGTAATTCAGCACGTCTGCTTTTCCTGAAACATTTAGTCAGGCAATCTGGCAGCAACAAAAAAGATTAATCAACAATTTTGATAATCAATTAATTGTTTAAAGGAATAGTTCACGTTGTTTGAAGTCCGCTTTAGTCAAATCATGTGGTCGATGACCTGAGTAGCTAATATCAGCTTTGACTGAACTTTGTGAGGCATTTTTGCTCAGTCTCTCAGCAGTGAGTAATTTTGTTTTTGTTTTGTTTCATTGTTAGATAACCCTGTCACCCACAACTCCCCCAAACTCGTCAGACATTTTCCATTACATAGGTGAAATGATAACATTTTGTTTTGATCACTCTATTTGTCATTTATAATCAGAATATGCACAATCAATAAATGGTTTATAACATACTATAACACACTTAGCATCTGTTGTAAGGTTATAGAAAGACATTTTGAAGTGTTTATCCTGGCCAGTGTATAAATAAGTACACAGCTGTCATCTAATACAATATTTTATATTAATGTGAAAGATGACTCCTTTGTTTATTATAGCTATTAATTATATGTATTAGTGAAGTATGCATATTCATGTTTTTCAATCAATAAAAACTCCAGGCCAGTGGCTGACAGCTCTGCAAGAAATCTAGTAAGTGCACCTTGAGTTAGGAGTTTCTCTCTGTCAACTTTTGTCTATTAGCTGATAGATGTTTTATTACATAATGTAAACATGTGTTCATGTGTTTGTTTATATATCATTAAATTATGTTCTGTTTAATCAGTTATTCATTAACTACTTATACAACAGTTATGGATGCTTCATTGGGGAATTTATAATTGTCGACATATACGTTACTAAACACTTAGAAATGTCCATATATCTTTAAAACAATGGTGTAGCGTGTTTATGTTCATTAATGCTTATTACGTAGCTGTGTCACCAGTTAAAGGGTTATTTGGAAAATATAAATAATAGATTAATCAGTAATAAAATCATCATGACTTGTTTCTAGCTGAATTAGGGTAGATGAGATGAGACAAACAGACAGAGACAGATATAACTACAGTTTTTTGCAAAGGTTTGGGTGGACCTCAGATGTTTTGTACTGAGGTCTAAGGTAAGATTTCCGTCCAATGACTCCTCCATGTAGACCCATGTCTGTGCGTCATTGCTGTGGCTAAACCTTCCTGCAGCGCTTCTGCAGTCATGTGGGGGGGGTTTGCTTTGCCTTCCTACCCAGCAGATGTGCAGTTTTCTTGATCTTCATGATCTTATCTCAACTTCAATAGTTCCCCTTAACTGGCATTTCTTAGTGACATTTTGTACAGTGGATATTAGAAGCTGGAAGCACATCTTTTTCTAGCCTGTGAATCTAGCTTCTCGATCAGATCCTCAGTCAGTGGTCTAGTAGGTTAGTGGTAGCTGACCACAAGATTTGAGTCAGATAATGTAGTGACAATGACATAATGACAATTATTGACTGACAAGTCCTAATGAGCTAATTAAATTCCCAATATTTTGGTGCACAAACGTTTTCATGTCAGTTTTTTTTCAGCTGATGAAATATAAAGTGACAGTTGCATTAACATTTGAAGAGAGGCAAATATTTGATGGCTGTTTGCTGCAGGGTTTGTATTTACTCCTTATCACTTCAAACCTTTGCACACAACTGTATGTGAGTAATTATATGAATAAAAAAAAATGTAATGAAACTATAAAATCTGAATTAGAAAAGACACGGAGGGAGTTTTACCTGCAGCAGGTCGGCCACAGCCAGGTTCATCATGAACACCACCGCCTTCTTGGTTTCTCTGACATAGACCCTGAACACCCAGAGCGCCAACACATTACCCAGCAGACCAGGTGCTAAGATCACGCTGTACACCACTGCATACACATGGTGTTGGTACGTTCGCAGATCTTCACTGTTTCTACAGCTTTGGTTCACAGAGTTCATCTTAAGCCAAGAGCTGTCTACTCTTAAGTGTTAAGACAAGCTGCCTTGTGAATAAACAGGAAGCTTGTATCAGGGAAGCTGCTTATCGTCTGGTGATGGGTTTGTTTGAGAATCCATGCTGTCCATTATGGTGAGGAGGAGTTCAGGCTGTGACCTGTGCCACTACAGTCCTGGTCTCTGCAGCATCCCAGAGAGAGAAGTAATGACTTTTAGTGAAGCTGAAGTTGTGTCAAGTGCTGAGAAACTGTTTCAGGTCACGATCAATCCCAAGAATACGGCATCCTGGTAGAGGAGAGAAAAGTTGGTCAAATTAAGAACATTTCTAGTAGGATGTGTAAAATTGTGTCCAAAAGCCACAAAGCAGGAATCAAAAAGGGCCTGTCTGTCTCTCTGTCACCTCACATCAAGAGGACCTGTGTGTGTGTGGGTTTCCTCCCACAGTCCAAAAAGAAGAGTGTTAGATGAATCGGAAATTCTCAGTTACTCTGAACTGTGACAAACTGCCCCCTTGTCCTGTATTTCACCAAGTGCATGCTGGGATAGAAAACAGGATGATAATTGTGTCACAGTAAATCAACTTTTGATGGCAGCACGTTTTGCATGTTACACGGTAGCTATCAAGTACTGAGGAAGAGCCTTTATAAATAGGACGCACACACACACACACACACACACACACACACGCACGCACATGCAAACACACTGACACTTTTCAGCTTCTGAACTACTACTTTCCATGGGCCCAGCTTGTTGCACAGGTGTTTACCGCTGCATATCATCAAAAATCCATTTGTGTAAGATAGCAGCTCACTGCAGTGGCATTTACAGTAAATATGCAAACCCACAGAGAAGTTGATGCTTCAGTCTCCCACGTACTGTTCATTGTGCAGCATCTCCACCTGTAGGGTGGCCTACAATAAGCCAGTGTGAAACGCCTTGGAGCGAGGCATCAGTGAAACTTGCGTGGTTTACAAGTCAGACAGGGTGTAGGGTTAACAGGTCAGACCAAAAGTAACCTGCCTTCACTAAGTCTGCTTAGATATGAGGAACAACAACTTTTGTGGTTAACTGACACATGCGTTCTTAACACATCGAACAGCACATAACGAAACTAATTTAAGAACATATAGATCTTTTAGGTAAGTGTAAGCTCTGATCAGCTCGACTTCAAATGGAAATGCACAGTGATGTCGAGAACTGAACTTCCAGCTTGTAGGTGTGATACACCCACCACAGCTGTATAGCAGATGGATGCTGGTTTACCTTATTTTTGCTACAACCCATATGAAGAATACACAATGTGAGCTACGAAGATTGATCCTACTTTTGATACTTTGAGTATTTAATCCGATTTTGTCTAAACAGATCTTAACTGATTATGGAGCAGAACAAAGAGAGGCACATGTTTTCATTGTTCTGATCCTCCACACATTCAGTATTTTACAAATAAGATTTGATAATTTGAATTGATGATTTCATTTATCATGTTGAGGTTGGCCCCTCTCCAAAGTGTGACATGATGAATTTGAGGGGGAGTGAGAAGATTAATAGGGTAAGGAAGAATAAAAAAAATGTAGTTTGTGCAACAAAGATTTCCATTCATTTTGCTGACTTTTCTCTAATTTTTCATTTTTCTAGTGAACAGTAAGATAAATGGAGGCAAATGAGATTTTTCAGTTTGAATTCACTCTATGGTGAGACCACTAGCACATATAGACATATGACATGTGACAAGGGACCTCAGCTGTATTCCCACAGTATTTTTGTAACAGGTCACAGGCTAAAAAGGTTGGTAACCACTGGTTTTGTCTTTAACAGTGTATTGTATTAAATAAGTTTAACATATATTTCTTGTGAAATCTTCATCAGAAAAGTAATTTTGATATGGTGGTAAAAAGTACAATATTTCGTAAATGCGGAAAGTACAAAAATGTACCTAAGCACCATAAATTTTCCACCACTTTCCCAGCAAGGTCACTAACAAGCAGGGGAATTTTGGATAAGTGAAGAGGGGATTTGGATGCAGTACAACTCTGCTTTAAGATATATAAACTCTTCCTCAGCTCTCTGGCCTCTGCCTCTGCTCTGCCTTTTATTCCACTTCACAGAGACAGAGAAAGCTCCCAGTGGACACCCGGTCTTCCTTTTAGCTTCATTCACCTCTGACCTAACTGTGTTTTTCTGGTGTCATTCTCTTCTCTTTTGAAACACATGTACAGTCAGAGGCTCATGTATGATCTTAGTGAGGACCAATCAGTGTTGGACTCTCATTTCCTCCTTGTGGCTTGTCACAGCAGACTTATATGAACAATGTCAACCTATTGAGACCAGCCCATCTGTGATGTCCAATCACCATCGTACTGTGACAGAAGCCATGTCATATGTCTTGTTGATATTTGGTTTATGAAGACTTAGAGGTATATGAAATCTCTGTGTTTCAGAAAACAGCTGTTCCCCTACCTTAGGGTCCTCAGATCTTGTCAATGGAAACACATTATATGATCCACCATGATTCATCTCTCTGTGGGTTGTTGGCACGTTACAGCTTTTCCATCTGGCCTCATGTGTCAGCTCCCAAAAGTTTGATGGTGGGCACCCAGGTCCCTCCACGTGTGCTGCTCCAACACACAAAACATGCCATGACCCCCCCCCCCCCCCCCCCCCCCCCCCGCTCCCTGATACTGTGCCCTTACATTAACACATAAAGGGAACACACAGACACCATGACACTGGCCTACAAATACACAAACACACACACACACACTACATTACAGACATTCCACACACTGGAGAAATATACGAGATCCCCCATGAGGCATGACTTCACACTGAAAGCATTCAGCGTCTCCACACAAAAGCTCACACTCTCTGTTTGTTTGTTTAAAAAAGAATTTATGAGATTGACATTGTCTCACCTCTGTCTTCAAACTCGAAGCTGCATCGCATTAAAAAGCAGAAGGGTGAAGCATCAGCCAACACACATGCCATCCCCCTCCCTCTTCCCCCTCTAACACTGTTTAGTTTCTCTGTCCCGCTCTCTCTCTTTCCCACTTTATCTGTTGCTCTCCCTCGTAAACAGTTTCTTTTGTCTTCTTCTGCAACACTGTTGTTTCCTGTTTTTATTTCTCACTGTGTTCTCTCTATGTCTCCGTCTGTCTTGCTTTCTCTCTGTGTCTCTCTGCTCTACTGAGAGTTTTAGCGCACATAGAGCTTCCTGTGAGAGTAGGGGTGTGGTTTACAAGAATATTTGACACCATAACTTCTGCTATTATGCTCATCGCCACTACTTTCCTTGTGGACCGTGATCATCTGCCTAGTGTGTCCTTTTCAGGCAAATCAAAACATTACAACCTATCATGTATCAGTGCTAGAATCAGTACTAAAAGTAGAAACAGAAAAGGGGTTTTTTTGCGTATTTGAAACTGCTTTTGGTTTCTTGTTCTCACATATTTCAAAACATGATATTTTCAGTGCCAGATAAAAAATTTGATGCAATGCTGGTGTGTGAGTGTGACAGCAAAGATAAGAAGTGGGCACATTTTTGGAGGGGTGAATCAGACACCTGGCAGTTTCTCTAAAGGTGGGCTGTGTGGGGGTGGGGGGTAGCCTCAAAGTTGGCTCATACTCTGGTTTTGCAGATGCAAGAGGAGGTGAGGGGGTGGGGGGTGGGTGGGGTTAGTGAGGCAAGTGAGAGGGACGGGGGGGGGGCAAGTGAGAGGGACGGGGGGGGGAGGGGGGGGGTTTAAAAGTCGACCTCAGATCCCGGCAGTTACTGGTTTTTCAGAGCTGCACCAACTGAAGCCAACTGTCTTCACCACTTTGCATTGCAAAGGGAAGTACAGCAAAAATGAACTGGCACCTGTTTTCATTTGCTACCAACCAGAGGAAACCTCATCATGAACCAACCTGAGATGAACAAAACAGACAAAACGTCACAGCACCTGATGAGACAGAAAGCACAGACTAGCTTTTATTTACAATACAGTGGCTTGCATTCACCTACAGCTTAGACAGTTACAACATAGCTTATCTAAAGTTTGAGACTGTGGTTTTAGAGCAGACTTCCGATATCAAGCAACTGTTACGATATTCATACAGATTTTGTGCACAGGCTCATGCAACATATACATCATTTCATTTTCTGATTTTTACTCTGTGGTCTAAAGCAATGTCCTCTGGGAGGCTCTTCATATTGACGTCAAAGTTAACGTGAAATCCTGCAAATTGTAAGGCCTGTTTTCAAGTTCAACACAATGCATCATGGAGGCCTGGCTGTTGGTCATCCTCTTTCACACTTGCTGGTCAATAATGCTATTCCCTGTCTGAGCAGTTACTCTCCATGCTCAACAGTCTGTGAGGTGGTAGGTGCTGGGTCGGGGAGCTGATCGGGGAGGAGAGTAGCGAGGAGGAGAAGGAGGAGGTGCGCCTGGTGAGGTGCAACCTGAACTCAGCTGTTAGAAAATAATAGAGCAGGGGGTTGAGGCAGCAGCTCAGGCTCGCCAGGCACAGAGACACCGGGTGGAACTGACTCACAGCCTGCCTGGTAGGACAGTGGGTCACTATGTCCTGCGACACCATCAGGTAGAACAAGAAGTTGAGGTGGTAGGGGGCAAAGCAGAGCCAGAAGAGGGCCAAGCAGCTCAGTACCATCCGCAGGGCGCGCCGCTTCTCCCTCTTTGTCTGCTTTTCGTTAAGTTTATCCGTCTGACAGTTGGAGGAGACTGACTGGAGTTGGCTGCGTGCTGAGGAGTTGAGTCGAGCGTTCGAGTTTTGCTGATCCTCGGTCTGTTTTTGGTTGAGGGACTGAGCGATGCGGATAGAGCTGTAACTGATGCAGGCCAAAGGAATGACGAAACCAAACATCTCAGCTGAGGCCATCATGGTGACTGCCAGAGAGAGAGACAGACGCCGCATGGGCAAATCTTTAAAACAGCTCCCTTTGATGGAACTGTTGGGATGTTGGGTAGAAGTGGCATCCAGAGAATAGGACATGTTATTGAGTGTTTGTGTGCTGACGCTGGCATTGGTTTCACTACCGTTGGACCGCATCAGAATGAATGGCGAGCAAGCCAGACCGACCACCACCCACACTACAACACTGATCAACAGGTCATAACGCCGCCTCCACCGACGAGCAGCAAACGGGTCGAGCAGAAAGACGCACCTCTGCACGCTGATACACATCTGGAAACACAGGAACCAGACAAAACAGTGGCATGAAAATCACTTGACCAGATTCAGAGGCACAGTCAGTAAAACTGTTCCGAGAACTGAGAAGAAGGGAGTCGCTGGCTTATATGCAAATGACTTACTATTATCATGTGCTGACATTTCAAAGAGGAATTGCAAAGCTGTCATTTTATCAAGTATCATCTGGATATCACCAGGATTAACTTGACTAAACCGCCTGCTTACCAGGAACACTATGGCAGCGTACATGTTGAGGAATTTGAGATAGAAGCAGAACAAGCAGACGCCTCGTCCAAAAGGCCAGGTGTGTGTGAAGTAATAATAGATCCTGAGGGGCAGAGAGAGGATGTGGGCCAGGTCAGCTGCTGCCAGGTTTATCATGAAGATCACTGCCTTGGTCTTCTTACTGTGGAGCAACATGCAGAGGAGTTAGCCATGTCCAGAATGTACTTGGCATTTTATATGTGCATGTGTGTATTTACCTAATGTGTCTGCAGAGGACATAGAGAGCAGTGGTGTTGAGCAGCAGGCCAGGGATGAAGAGCAGCAGGTAGAAGTACGTGTACATCTTGTCCATGCGCTGTTCCCAGGCCGTATTGTTGTAGCCACATTGTAAGGAGGAGTTCACCAGGGACTCCCTCGACAACCCAGACATTTTCGCAGTCATTCCCTCGCTCAAACAGACACTGGAGGCATATTCAGCAAACCTTACCTGTTGTCAGTCCTTCGTCTTTTCACTCCCATAACACTGCAGTGGAAAAAAGACAGTTGGCATGTAATGTAAAAACATCATAGTATATGTAGAACACTGATCCCTTATTGGTTTCACTTTCTAATGAGGCACCATTCACAAATGTGTCATAGGTTGTAACTAATGGCTTTAAAAAAGTTATTTAACCGTTCTCTAATGCTTTATAAAACAGCTATAAGTCATTAACTCATAATAATGTTTGGGTTGCCAGGTTGTGACAAATCCCATCGGCTGTTTGTTATGCTCCTCCAGTATAAGTAAACAAATCTTTATTTGTATGTAACAACTTGTATATCACTTTTAGCTCTTTAATTCATTAGGAAAAGGGTTAAATCAGATCAACACACAAAATCACTTCAACGTTATGACACTTACAAGTACAGATTCTGTGGACTGTTGTAAAAACCCCTTTATTAATGACTTTTAAACATTTATATTTCTATTATATCTCTATTTATATATTTTTTATTAAGTGAGGAATTCAACAAAAAAACTTTAAATATGAAAATAGTCTTAAGAGTCTTAAGTCTAAAGAGCAAACTGAAAAGAAAAAACAAGAAGCTGATGACAGTGAGACCCTATGGCGCTTGTGTGTAACCAATTACACTTACTCAAGTGCTATAGTTAATATAGCAATATAGTAATAAGTTCATTTTAAAAATATTTATATTTACATGCAAAACATATCATTAGCTAGTAAAATAAGATGCACTTCTATTGATTTATTTGGTTCCTCCTCAACCAATTATAACATTAAAATGCTCCTTACATGTTAATGCATCAGTAATAAAAATCAATATATTATATATTACATACTTTTACTTCTGATAGTTTCAGTACTTTTGCCATTACTTTTACTTAAGTAAAATTTTCATTTTCAATAATTTGTATATATTTTTCAGATTTTTTTTTTTTTTTTTTTTTTTTTGCCACACACTCATTTTCTTGTAGTGAAGTATCATCTGCCCAGATTTTAGTTTTTTCAGGTAACACGTTCGCGCCGCTTTATATGTGCGGGATATTTACTAATGAAAATAATCATAAAAAGTATAATAAATCAGAGATTCTTCAAAGTATACTCTGTCTGGCCAGAGACTGCAACAGGAAATGAGGAGAAGAGAGACAGTTTATAGCTGAAGCACCGCCCTTCCTTCTTCCATCAAGATGTCACTACACCCTTCCTCTGTCACCCCAGAGAGGGAAGAGAAACAGTAATTGTTTTTTGCTGCTTTACTGTATTTTTGCCCAGTTTTTGACTCTTGCTGCTACCAGGTGTTGACGCTATCAGTCTGCTACAGTCAGCCAATGGACGCACTCACTGCACCTGTGCATTTAAGAGTTGTGTGAGAGCATGTCCTAAAACTTGAATTTGAGGAAGTAACTGTCTGGTAGGTCAGGTTTTGTAAGAACTGATGAAGATAAATCTGCAACCTGCATTTTCTCAACACTGTTGTGAAAGCATTTATAAGTGTGAAAACACATTTGAAAAGAGTCTCAAACCATGTAGAAAAATTCAGTCAAAGCAGCTCAAATATTGCTGTAATTCAATGGAATAATGATTTTCATGAGAGACAAACATTCCAAAACTTACTTTACATTTTATTGCTAATTTGACCTTAATAATAGCTTTAAAATGAAACATATGATATGTACATACTAGCAGATGTAGATATTTTATAGCATTTATTGTAATATTTAAATATTATATTGGATGCAAAGTGACAGAGGCTTTAATAACAAATCTCCTGTTATCAGCAAAATGTGAAACGTGTCAAATTTTGAAAGCACGGCAGCGTGACTGCCTCACAGACGTTATTTCTCTGAACAAAAACCATATGTCATTACCTTGTATTCTTCTCTCTACATCACCAGCATGGATAGAGGGGAGAGGTCAGACCCAGCAGGGACCACCAGAGACCACATATTTCACAGTCCTTTGTAAACAGCAGACTGACGAACAAACACTCTCTCCTCTTCGAGCTGTGCAGTGGCAAACAGGGTCAACAGCAGACCTTCCTGGTGCACATTGCAGACGACAAAAAACAAAACAAAAAAAAACCTGTCAGTGTGTGCATGTGAGCAAGGTTGCATTAAGCCCGCCAATAAAGCGGTTTCTGTTTTAATGTGTAGTTGCGTCAGATAGTGGTGTGTTGTGTCGCTGTTCTCAGGCTTGACTGAATCTTGGTGCCTAGGGTACAGTGATGAGGGGAAGGGGAAGCTCTGCCCTCACGCATGTGCGTATTTTCTACCATTTGCTGCGTCACAGATAGGCAAAACTTAAGATACAGTATTGGGCATGCAGAGGGGTTCAACGTGTGGGTAAGAAAACGGAATGACAACACTTACCAGTACAAACATTAATCTAACAGGAGACAGAAAGGACGGCAGATATGTGACACGGCAGAATCTGAGGCACCCACTGTGTCGTTTCAATTTGCAAACTGCTGTGTTTGTAATTGTAACACAAAAAAAGTGCAAGTTTATATCTGCTTCCTCTATCAGGTGCTATACTTCCCTTTGTTTTTTTTTTAAAGCTGTTGTTACGGTAGATTTGTGTGTAGACATTTAAATTTTTAATTTGTGCTTCAGTCCTCTGAAATGTTAAAAGGGTTGGATTTTATTTTTCCCGTGGCTACTGATATTGAGGGAAGGCCATTCAAACTTTTCCAGTATGGTCATGGTTTCAGGTGTATGGTGTCTAGACCAAAAAAAAAACAACACACACACACACACACACACACACACACACACTCAGCAGCAGCAGCAGCAGCAGCAGTAGCGGTTTTATCCATCCTGTTAGTTTCACAGTATCTAATAGATTTAAATTCACACCTTCATAAAAATTACACATTCCCCAACTGTTCCTGTCACCTGCATGACCTATATGAAACTTGCAGGCTTCCTGTGCTGTAATAAGTTTCATCTCAACACATTTCAATATAAAGCTAATGGTCATTCACATGTTGAACACAAAGAAACACATAATAATGAAAAATCAGTGGCGTTTAGTTTAGTATTTTTAACCAAAAAAAAGTCTTTGTTCCAACTTATGGCCACTAGAGGTCAGAACAAGCCAATACTCCCAGCTACAACATGCAGCTCTTTCCTCTGCAAACAGATTGCTCTTATAAGGAGACATTTGAAGGGTGAGCTGTTAAGTGTCTTCTGTTGCAAAATTTCGGCCACATTCTTGACACGAACCACTCAAGGGGTAAAGGCAAGCTCTTGCATACTTCTATCCTCCCACTTTTCTTATTTCCTGCTCGACTTCTATCCACACCAGTATGTTTGTCTTCTTCTCTGCTACCCTTGACCCCAAATCCCTGAGTCCATCCACTGTTGTCTGTGTCTGCTGCTGGATGCACATGGCCACAACACTCACACTACCAGAGAAGGACTACTATTACTAGATTTTTGTTTCTCTCCTTCACTACATACCAAGTAGCAGGTATAGAGGCCCATTACATTCCCAAGGAAGGCCCTCAGTCTCCAACTCTGCATGGCTCTATGAAGGAATGGATAAACACTTTGTACAAACACCTTGTATAATATCCCAGTCCCTAGTAAATTACTGTGGCTGGAGAGTTAATGGCTAACATGCTAGCAAGCTGGGAACATGCCAGCACTAGTCAGTCACAATAGCTCTGTGAATTTCTTTCTATTTTCTCTGCTCTGTACATCATTTCATTCAATAAACAGTACAGTTAGCCAGTAAGCTCAGACGCTAAATGGACAATAAGTTCCTTGTTTATTCAAAATTTGTTTGTACCACTGACTCCCATCTCACAACTGTCAACCAAGCCTCTTTTAGGGAACATAAAGACCGCCCTGGTGCTGGTCCATACAGTAGCACTGTCACTGTTAGATGCTGATGCACACCAGAAAGTGGCAGAGCATAGTTTGTTAATGTGTGTGCTAGACGCTTGATGGCTAACTTCTCTCAGGTCTAGGAAAATACTGTAGCTGGAGAGTTAGTGGCTAACATGTTAGCATGCTGGGAACATGCTAGCACTACAGTCACAATAGCTCAGAAAGTTTCTTTCTGTTTTCTCTGCAAGCTAACACTAGTCAGTCACGTCAGTTTCTTTCAGTTTTCTCTGTACTGTGTCAGGATTGCATATCATTTTATACAATAAGGAGTTTTCTTTTTTTTTTTTTAAAGCTTTCAGTTAGCAAGTTAGCTTAGTTGCTAACTGGACAATAAGTTCCCTGTTTATTCAAAATGTGTTTGTACCACTGTCTCTTTCAGGGAGCAAGTTGTACTCTGACAGAGGGTTAAATAAAAGTTAATGGTGCAACAAAGCTAATAAGCTATGATAGCTCCATCCATTTTGAACTCAGCTCTCAAAGATCAGCACTGTCAAGAGATATTTGCCGTCCATCATCTAGTGAGTTAGTGCGCCAAAATTCCCCACTGTTGAACTTGACACAAAAAATTCACCGCAAGACCTTGCTGCGAAATCAATTAATTTTGCTGGTGTATGTGTGCCCGAGGCTTAAGTCCAACTGAGGGGCTGTGTGATAAAAGTTAATTGCAAACTCAGGAAATGTAGATAAAAGTATTTACCAAATGGCCCACAAAATTCATACACACAAACTCTGCTGACTCATTACTGTTTTGTGCCTCATGCAGTGTAACACTGTGATTTGGAGTATTTAGTTAACACTGTTCACTCGTACTTTGGAGCGTGTGCATGTTGCTGTGTGTAAGAGACTTTGAGCAGATCTGCAGTCTAAGGCCAGATTAAGACAGAGAGACCTCATTCAGGAGCAAACAATGGACCATTGCTTTAGTCATAATAAGCATTTGGCCTGTGACACAGCACACAGGCCAAGGTCCTCGACCGGATCAGGACTGCCCTCTCCTCCAAGAACAACACCACACTGGCTGCTTGGTGAAAATGAAGAGTAGAGTAGAAAAACTCCTCCATGGGTTCAAACCTACAGTCACGCTGACAAAGGCCAGTTTGCCTGGATCAACAGGCTCAGAAATAATAAATGCTGCCACGAAAGCATTTCAAAACAGACATTTAATGGCCTCAAACTTCAACATCAAGACACATTTAACTCAGCAGGTCAGTACGCTGCTGTGTTATAATAACAATGGTTCTCACCACATTAAAGAGTGTCATAACATTAATGTCTAAAGTGATATAATGCACTGCGAAAGCTTGAGCTTTATAACAATAAAACTTAAGGGCTCAGTTTATTATAAAAGTACTTAACAGCATATTTAAACAGCATGGACGGAAATCTCCATCTTATCCACAACCCAGTGCATTTGTGAGTGTTTGTGTGTGTTAAGCCTGAGTGATGATGTGTTGGAGTCTCTTTCAGAGGCTCTGCATGTCTCTGGACTATCACAATAGTCCTGATGCGGCTGGGTCTCTGGTCCCTGTAGTGTTCTCTCATAATAAACACAGATACATTCCTTTGCTCTCCAGTGGTGGATTAATCCGTAAAGCTCAGGCCATACCTCAGGATTTACCTCAGGACTTAACTAATCTGCTGAGTTATGCATTTGTCACTTCCAGGACCAAACAGCTGATTGCTTATTTTTTCAAATTCGGGGGTTCCTGTCTTTCGAACCCACCCTGTCCTTCTTTACCTTCCATGTTCCCTGCTGTGTCAGAACTGACTTTCAGACATCTTTGTCTCTTTTCCATTGCTGGCCAGAGTGTGTGTGTCTCTGGGGAGAGTGTTTGCTGTGTCCTGGGTCTCAGTGTCGCTGCGGGGGATACTCTCAGGGCGAGAGCCGGACCCTTTTCCTCCCATGGTCAAGCTTTTCTGGAAGCTCTCTGAGGTGAAGTAGTAAACCACGGGGTCCAGGCAGCAGTTGAGGCTGGCCAGGCACAGAGTGATCGGGTAGAGAGTTCGGGCGAATCGCTCTACAGTGCAGCTGGCCAGGGCCTGGGTCCGCACCAGCGCATATAGGAATAGGATAGAGTTATAAGGGACGAAGCAGATGATGAAGATGCCCAGATGGACCAGAATCATCCGTAAGACACGTCTTTTGCTGTCACAGCCATGACCAACAGTTACCGGGCGACGCAGTGTCCGCAGAACCAGCGAGGAACATACCAAGTTGACCAGCAGGGGAATGAGAAAGCCCACGACCTGGGACGATGATAAAAAGCATCTGATTAGATAAATAAAGTGTATAAATGGTGTGTATGTAAAACTGAGAGTGTAAAACTTAGAACCTGTCGCTGCTGACTTACCTCAATAAAGATGGTGATTTTGGACAGGTAGGTCCTCCAGGTGCTCTTAGAGAAGCCCTCGAAGCATGTGGTGGCTCTGTTTGTGCTGTTGATGGTGGAGAAGAAGGTCACTGATATTCCTCCCCCTACGATGGTCAGCCACACGGCGGCACACACCAGCGCTGCATTCCTGCGTGTGCGGATGGAGCGTGAGCGGAAAGGGTACACTATTGCCAGGAAGCGGTCTACACTAATGCAGGTGAGGAAGAGCATGCTGCCGTAGATGTTGGTGATGAAGGCTGTTCCTGACACCTTACAAAGTCCATCTCCAAACGGCCAGTGGCGGTTAACATTGTAGAAGACCTTGAACGGCAGCGTAAAAACAAACACTAAATCAGATAATGCTAAGTTAGTCATAAACATCGTGGTCTCATTGCGCATCTTCATCCGCAAGCAGAACACAAAGAGCGCAGCACAGTTGGTGATCAGGCCTAGGACGAAGACCACACTGTAGACCACAGAGTACAAGTTGTACTTGAAGGAGTCATCGATCCCACAGTCCTCCATTCCAGTCTCATTGAGCACCAGACTAGCCATGGTGACAGCTTAAAAGGGGAGGGGGGCTCCACGGAACAAGGGTACACCCAAGCCGTCAGGAAAGGGAGAAGTCGGGGCGGATATCTGGGGATCTGAGGTGTCAGCAGGGGATCCACCAGTCAAGCCCCCTTTGAGCCATCATGGACACTCAGACACAAATGCAGGCAGAGACAGTCAGGATGCACGGCTGCAGGGCCGGTCAGTCCTCCTGTGGAGAGAAAAGGAAAAAGCACACGGTCACTTCCTCACAATAAAAGTTACAGACCAAGAAGCAAACAACTCCAGGTCTCCATAGGATGAAGCACATGGTATACGCCTTCAGCCATTATACCATTAAACAAGGCACAAACTGAATCTGTATAAAACTAAATTTTAAGAATATAGGTGGAAGAGATTTATGTGATGTGTTACACCAATGAGAATTTTAAACAACTGTTTCTTAAATGTACAATTTTGGGGAAATTATTTTACCATATAAAAGCAAAATTTGGGATATTTTCTATACATTTTGGAGGTTGCATTTGACACCAGACAGATGCAACCCCTATCAAGAGTGTCTTACATGCTTTAGAATAAAACACAGTACAAACTTTGCATAATCTAAAACAAAACAAACAGGGTGGTTGATTTACTGTGTCTCTGCATGCTTGCAAGTATGTATGTGTGCATGTTCATGAGTTATCTGTCAGTATAAATAATCATCTGGTCTCAGTTCCAGTGGCAGTGTGGCATGCAGCACTCAGGCTGTCATCAGGACTGTGAGAGGTAAGTATCTGCCAGGGTATGGGAGATTGGGAGATTAAATACACTTCCGCTACATTTATTAGCAGTGTTAGAGAGCTCAACGTAAAATCCACCTCCATTCTCAGAAAGGAACTAAAGCTGAGCTCCAACTGGAAGAAGTAAATAACTCGGCATGTTTTCTCAGTGGAAAAGTAGTGCAGAGCCGCTCCCACCACCACAGAGCACTGCTGTAACCACAACACAATGGTTTTGTTGTCAAACCTGAACAATTAAACTGATTTGAAGTTGTGAAAGACAATGCACTTTCTAGTGGCATATTTGAAGCCATATTTGAGTGATGTAAGAAAACAAATACACTTCATTTTTGTATTGTGGAAGTAGTGGCCAAAGAGCCATTGATCCCATCATTACAATGTACATTTCATGTTGTGCAATGACCAATTCTTCATAATTCAAATAGTTACATAACGTAATAAACATGTAAAACGTAAAAAAACATGTTTGTAATTCATATTATATCATATTAACTTAAAATTAAGATTTTTCAAATAAAATAATACATTAGATATAGATACATTTCCATGTAGAACAATATATTGATTGAGCAACTGCAGATTTGTATAAGTCCCTAAACAGAGGCTAGAGAACAGACAGCTGCTTGTGTATATGATTTTTATGACTTTCCACATATTCCACATCGGCATGAGTGTGTGGTGATGGTAAAATGATGATAAAAGGGATTTAGTGTGGGTGGCGATTTAGTGTAAATACCACACATTATCTCACTGTGCAGGTAAAACATAAACAGCTTCAACACTCTGCAAATCCTCACAAACGATGACATAGCGTGCAATTCATCAGTGGATTTTCCAAGAAACTAAATGTTGCAGAGCCACAAAGGCACGTGCAAAACAGATGATACAGTATTAGACTCAATCACTGCACTTTTAAATGACTCTCAGGCAAAACAGAGGTCGGTCATTTTCCTCTCCAGCTTCATGTCTCGCTCAGTCTTAAAAGGGAAACTCCACCAATTTAACAAGGAGTCACAAGGACTACTACACAGCATGTGAAAACAGCTGTATCCAAAACCTGATAATGTCAGCAGGGTTATCTTGTCTTGTTATCTTGAGATTCATTTTCAAAAGAAATTTTGCGTTAACAGCTGAAGGTGTAGAGTATGAAAGGCATGGCTGTTTATCAGGCAGGGAGGATCAAAATAAAAACAATATCAAGTTGCATTATGGGAAATGCAGGATCCAGGAGTTTTGGTGCTTGACCTACACTATGGGCCAAAAACTCAGGACATCTCGGTTTCTGTTGTATTGATTTTAACCATTCTCTTATCTTTTCTTTTACTACAATCTTGCTGCCAAGTCCTCTGACTTTATGGTAGAGCAATTCTAAATCACTACAGCAGCTGATTTATCAAGCTGAACCGGCCTTATCTTGTGTTATGCAACAGAGCTAAACCAGCAGGGAGGTATTCGGCCTTTGGTATAGCATGTAAAAATCCTGAGTGTCTCTGGATGAGATCTGTCTTTTCAACACACACACACACACACACACACACACACACACACAAAGACAACGCTGTGAGTGTAAGCAGTCCATCAGCCCTGTCCGGTGCCAGCTGCAGTGTGACATCTTTACTGCGTTTTCACACGCCTACCCGAAAAGCTTCCAGCGGCCCTTACAATGCCCTCACTGTACCCGTCTGCTACGAACACACACTTTCATATGCAAAAGTCTCCACACGTGCATACACAAGCAGGCAAACACTTACATGTGCCAGTCCACACGCACACAAACAGACACACTGTGGGGTTCTGTGTGCTGTGGCTCAGGCCCAGGACCCCTGACAGCGCCAGTTTCATATTCAGCTGATGTTGTTTCTGCAGGGAGCCGAGTCTATAGAACGTTGAATTTGGCCTCTATACAGTTTGTGTTTGAAAGAAACAAGAACCACGTCTACTGCAGACTTGTTGCAGAGACGTATTTAAGCATACTGTGGATTACTAGAAGTCCTGCCGAGGGATATCAGTCCTGAGAGTGTCTGTATGTACTTCATGTACAGGTCGTGGACAGCTGCACAGTCACAGGGTTTCCCCCCGCAGCCGGCCGCGGCAGTGACAGAAACAGGCCTCTGGGACCCGCTGATCTGAACAGATCGAGTTCAGGCTCAGCTCACATCCAGCTGTTCCTTTCTCTCACATGCAAGGAGGACGGAGGCAGGGAGGGTTGAAGGTGGGGGACAAGCAGGCACACAGTGTTGTGTTTGAGGAGACGTCTTCACTGCCTACAGCCAGCACAGCCTCGTAAACAGTGTTTTTAATCAGGACGGTCTCAGTGGAAATGTGTCTCAAGTTACATCACAAGCCACCAATATAAGGAAGACATGATGTAATGCTCAATTTCTATAAGAGCTGAAACAGCTGGTTGATTAATCCAACAGTCAAATTAATCAGCAAGAATTTCGATAATCAATTTATCATTTAGGTCATTTTACTTCACATGTTTCCGCTTCACAAACATATCTTCTGGTTTTCTTGTCTTCTGTGATAGTGAACTAAACATCTTTGGGTTTTGTTGGTTGGACAGAAGAAGCAAATCCGAACATGTCACTTAAGGATCTGAGAAAACATTTTTCATATTACACAACGAAATGATTGGTTATGATCAAAAATCAACATTGATAATCCATGTGTTTGTTGTTTTGTAGCCCAAACCACCTTATTAAGAAAAACTTGCGATACACAGTAAATCTACAATACCTCTTCACTTGTTCCCCTGTTGCTGTGACTGTGTAGAGGGGGTGATTACACTGTAATTCAATCAACTCTTACTTGTTGAGGCCCTATAATCTGTGGAGTGAATGATATTATCCTAAACTGACAGGCGTTTGTGTTAGTTGTACCTTAAACAAACAGTCCATAGATTAGCTCCACAGCCTGTACATGTGGCCTATAGTTTAACTCTGTTGTCTGATGACAGATGACAACTTGTATAATTGGATATTGTGGGTAAACCAACGGGCTTCTAGAGAGAAGCTACTCAAAAGTTTTCTTCAACTAAAGACTAAAGAACATGTTTTTGTCAGCTCAACACAAAAATGCTGTTGTCTGCAGACAAAGCGGGACAGACTTACTGGCAGCTGAATGGATGGTGACAGCTCACCTCCTGGTCACTGATGTTTGTCAGTCTGGCGGCAGCAGCGGTCAAAAGCTGTCAAAAGAAAAGCTCCATATTTTTCTATCACTCAGAAGTTTTGCTGCTGCTCAGAGAGTTTCCAACTATCCCGAGTCAAAACCGCAGCTCAAGCAGCACCAAGAAATAACGGGACCGTTTTAAGCACGACAACAAATCCTGCGGGTGTGAGTTCTTCCATTAATCCTGACGACTCTCCCCGTCCGTCTGTCCGTCTGTCCGTCCGTCCGTCCGGCCGCTGGACCTCCTCACATCCACCGCGCCTGCTCACCCCGGGTGTTTGTGCGCGCGCGTGCGTGGAGAGCTGCTCGCACGGCCACAGGAAACGAGACAATAGCACCTCGGCTGGGCAGAGGGAGGGACGGGGGGGGGGGGGGGGGGGCGCGGCGGAGAGGGGAGGTGTGAATGACGTATGAGGATTGTGGACGTAGGAGGCAAAGGACAGGGAGGGGTGGGGGTGGAGGGGGGCAAAGACTGGTGTCATCAGCTGGAAAGCTCACAGTTTATTAAGAGCAGACACAGACTTTTATTATACATTTAACCTCACTAGTTAATCAGTGTGATAACAGACATTTCTGCTGTGTCTGCCTCCGCTAATAGAAGGAAGTTTAATCAAATACTGTAGTATTGTTCTATAATTGAGTATTTAAGTATAGTATATAACACCACATCCCAGATGTGCTATAAATAGGCTGTGCTTTATTCCCCTACACATTTATTTATAGCTTTAGTAAGGGACATCATGAAAGATACTGGGTGGGGTGAGGTGTGGGTGTTAAGTTTTATATTCATATATAACATATATATTATGTAAAAAGCAAAACTGTTTATATTTTCTTTGGACACTCTCCTTAAATTTGAGGGAAAACTGCAACCCTGCCCTCATGAGTATCTTGAAATAATATAGGCTAATTGGTCAGACATGACAAATGGTACTATTTTTGAATAAAGAACTGATAAGTGAACAACTATTACAGCCACTGATGGTAACAGGCAGCAGCTCTGTGGCTGCTAACACGGCCTTCTGTTGGAGACGTCTGTTCCAAAATGGAAGCCACAAAACCACATTTGCTTTTATTTTTCTTTAACAGTAAATCTCATGAGGGAAGAATGAATCAGGGTGAGGAAAAATTAAAAGCCTCCCCTCCTGCTCTCCCAAAAAAAAAGCTGCCTTCCCTAATCCTCCCCATTCTCTAATTCTCTTGTCTTCCTAATCATTTTCATACAGTCCCTAATAGTCACTTAGCAGATTCAGATTTTATATACAAAACAAATGATCAACAAATAACAACGTTTACATGAAAGTACTGTATATGTCGTAGTAGCTGCAACTCAACCAGATACATTAAAATGTTGCTTACACATTTATGAAAATAATAATAATTCCATAATATAATTTAAAACAAGCTAAAAGGTCTGATTATGCATTAAGAAGTACTTTAACTTTCAAAACTTTAAGTATATTTACTGATACTGTCCTTCTACTAAAGTGTTGGACTTTTTACTTTATACTTTATATTACATTGTGGTATCACTTACATTATTTAATTAAGGGATCTGTATATTTCTTCCACCACTGTCAGTGGAAAATAATAGTGTGAAATTATAAAAGAATAGACTTTAGACTTTATTTATTGTAGCTGCTGAAAACAACAATCAACATGTTCACAAAATATTTCTGTCACTTGTTTAATGAAGGAAACATCCTTCATATTCTTTAACCACATATTACAAATAGACATATGATTATATTAAATAAATTTTATTTAACATTTTATTAACCTGACATTAAGTGCTAATGTCCAGTAACCAAAGAATAAGTTTCCCAAAGTGAGTGACTGACATGAGACTAACAAGTGACTGGCGTCCGACCTACTGCTCCCAAACTGTAAATATAACCTGCAGTGCAAAAAAACCCCATATAAAAAGAAACTATAATTATAGTTCATAATGGGCGGGTGACATCTTCAGGGTCTGTGCCAATTTCACACCAGCCAAATAGACTGTTAACTGTCATTATGATACCTCAGAATAACATGGTGCTATTTTGGCTGATCAAAGTCCTGCCACACCATTGTTACAATACAATCTTCATGTGTGAGGCCACCAAAAGAGTTATTTTTAGCAAGGTGACAGGGCGGTGTTGGGCAGGTTCCCATTGTGTTCAGGCTGGCATGGGGCTGTGTGTGTGTGGGTGTGTGTGTGTGTGTGTGTGAGCGACAGTGAGAGAGGCACTTGAAAGAGGGGAAGTGGTCTTTGGGGGTAGCGTCTGGCAGGCTGACCACTCCACAATAGCAGCAGGGAGGACAGGACATCCTGCTTACTCCATACGCTGAACTCAGACACACACATGCATGCACACATGACACACACACACCTTCAACATGCACACAAGCAATACATTACACACAGCCAGATGTCTTTAACCTCTTGATTGTTGGTGTTGAAGCGTTTAAATAGAATGAGTCACACTGTGTGATAAGAAACATGTTTCCTTAAATGACGTTTCATAACATGATTCCAGTGTTTTCCTTCACTTAGTCATCTTTAACATAGCATTACTTCATTTGCTTCGTAAAGAGTCTCCTGTTAAAGTAGTATCATGTCACTTTTCCACATCAAACTGTCCAAAAGATATTCTAGAGCTATGTTAAATACTTTTTTGAGTCGTGTACTCACTTACATTATCTCAAATGTTTCCAGCGTTTTTCTAACCTAGAGAAATCCTTGATTTGAATCACTGTAACAGTCCATTTCATTTGGTCGCCTGTCAATGGTGAAATGTGAAACTACTTTATTCAGTGTTTTACAGGTTATGATCATGTGGTCTGTTTGATTTGGAGAAGAGGAGACCTCTGTGGATAATTTGGCTCCTGGTGAAAACCTCCTGAACAACTGACACTGAAGGAATCCAAATCCGGAGAAACTGACGGCAATGATGGTGAAGACAACAACTCCCATGATCCCACACGTCACGACATCACCAAACGTCCTCTTTTGTAATTGTTTTGATTGAGACAGCTCCAGCAGCAGTAGTTACATACTGTGAGGTTTATTTGGTGGAGACATATTTTCAGCTGCAATGACACACTAGATCATTGTCAGGGCAATGTCATTAGAGAGTAGGGAGTAAAAAACTATATTTGGATGAATGTATTCTCATGAGAGTTCATATTATATGCTAAAATGAGAAAATGTCGCAGTTTTCATACTTTCATTGGAATCAGTGTGTGTTTTAATGCGACTTTGAACATGAATATCTGTACAACGTGCCGTGGAAATTCATCCAATAGTTAACCAGTTATTTCAGTCTGAAGAAAATTGGTTGCCAGCATTGCCATCATTAGCATGTTGCTGCTAGCATGGCTAAAAACACTGTTTAACAAGGAATTTCTCACAATACCCAACAAAAAGCACATATTTCCCAAATATACCAGACTTTTTTTGTAATGTTTTAAGAACTGTATCATCTTCACATAATTATGGCAATAATTTTATGTCATTTCTTTAAGTTAAGTTAATTTAAAAACCATCATTCTGCCTCAACCATATGATTCACAAGTTTTCAGACATACGCTATGAGTAACAGATGTTTTTGTACAAACAAGTACAAACTTATTATGAGTTCATCAAGTCTTTTCCCAAAAACCTCCTGTGCAATCAAAGGTGATGTACTGCAAAATATTGGGCAACCAATTATCAGTTGCTTATAAAGTTAGTTTGTGTAACGTCTTCAACACCGAGCCTGACTGTAATGACGGCTGTCTGTCTGTAGTGACTGTCCAAGCAAGCACTGGATGAACCGTAAGACATGTAAGGTTTTATTGGGCTGCAGAAATCCCCCAGTCCTCACACACACACACACACACACACACACACACACACACACACACACTCTCCTCCCTCCTTATTCTCTGTGTTTGGTAACGGTAACTAAGCTGTGCTGCTGCGGCCAAGGCTTTGTGAGTCACACCAACCAGAACAAAGACCCCATTACTGCACCATCACCCCCCTCCACTCCCTCTCCCAACTCTCTTATTCGACCCCTCTGTCCTGCTCTCCTTTAATGCGATGATGAGTGTATTTCCTTTGCTTTCCTCCCTTTGCCTCCGTCCATCCTCTCATTCACTGGCTCCAGGAGGGTTTAGGGGCAGCCCCGTCGTGCCATACATACCTCTGTCCTGACAACAGATCTGGACAAAAGCAGCAAGGCAGTGCAACACTGGAGTCTTGGGCTTTACAGGCTTCATGGACTGATATTAACATGACAGCAGTGGGGTCTCCTAAGTGCGTATGTGTGTATGTGTGGAGCTGACCTTAGCCCCTGTGAGCCAGCGTTTAGCTCTGACCTGATTATAGACCAGCTCTTCCGCAGCTGAGCAGAGCCCGGATCAATGCTGCTGGCTGTGGCTGAGGCCACAGAGGGAGACTGCAGACACAGCCTGAGATTGAGCAGTGGCTGTTTACCCCACCGCACTGATAGGTGCAGCATGAGCAGCCATGGGTGAGCGTTCGTTCTGCAGACTGAGAGGCGAGGCAGACAGGCTGACCAGACTGACCCCAGCCTGTGCAGACAGGGCTGGCTGTTTGTGATATAATGGGCTGATGTACCTTGACTCGTGGTGCATACAGTAAACAGTCAGCTGTCAAAGATATAATCAGTTCTTTTCCAAACAAGGTCTTCTTTGGGGGAGAATTGGCATGACAGAAGGGGATAATTGCATTTAGTTCAATTCTAATGTGCTTCATTGGCATCATAAGGCAGATAAAGGATCTAAATACTGAGCTCATAAGTCAAAGTGCCCCCAAACTCCCCCATGACACAAAGGTGAAAGTCTCTATTGAGTTATTTACATTTACTGTCTATGAACTTTGCCTCTGTTTTCTCTATAGGTAAGACTACTAGCTATTTCCAGGTAGCTTTCTGAAAAAATTATTTGGAAATTACAGCCCCATAAAATGAGGTGTTACAAATTAATTTTCCAACACAAGAATCCAAAGACTGTTTCAAGCTGCAAAGAATACAATTCTGCTGGAGAGATAGAACATTATTTTTTTACTTTTTATTTTTTGTACCTAAAAGTAGACAGAAAAAACACAAAGGTTATTGCCTTGCTGTCAAAGAAATCAAAAACATTAGAATTTCAACAAGGAATGGAAATGACAGTTTATAAGTCGGTCTACCACACCGGACTGAAATATCTCAACAACTGCTGGATGGATGGTCATGAAATGTGATACACACATTCCTGGTTTCCAGGCAATTAATCCTACTGACATCGTTGATCCTGACTTTTCATCAAACATCATCAGATCAAAAATTCTGTTAACCCACTACTTAGATTTATGACCAAATACCTGAAAAACGAATGACACTCTCATCGGCCTGAAGTGATTAGCATCAGGTAACATGCTAAACTAAGATGGTGAACATTGTAAACAATATACCTGCTTAACATCTGCATGAGCGTGACTCGTAGAGCTGCTATAGCACAACTGGAGACTGAAGTCTTGTTGTATATTGCACAATGCCAGCAAAACAATGTAAAACCATTACATGTAGAGGCAATATACCTCATTCAACTAAAATCATTGCCTCAGGATGAAAGCCATTCGGGCGGATGTGAGTGTATTCCCAGTAGTTAGTGAAAATCTTCAAACTGATGTAATCATTTCTCAGTACATGATGTCTCATTGTTACACTTAATGGGACACTGGAAGCTGACAAGTCAAAATGTCTGCTATGGAAAACTCCTACATTAGTACGAAAAAATGCAGTATGTAAAAGTGATAACAAGTAAACAGATTAGGATGTTGTTTATGCTTCACCCACCATCTGTAAACAAGAATGTTTACAATTCCCAGGCAAATGGTGAATCTCACAGTACAGAAGGGGGGCGCTGTTGAGCTACATATCAAGAGGCAAGAGGTCATAATGTACAGTACGTTAATGATTAGCCAAATATTGGGCTGCATTGATTCACTCTATGGCCAGCAATGTAATTGTGTTAATTTTGTGCTATCTTTGTGTAAAATATGTGTTCATGTTTGACACAGATCTGTCGACTCTGGAGGTCCCCTCACATGTCTGCACCGTTTGTAAATAATAATCACACTGCTCGGTGCTGCTCTGCTCAGTGCACAGATGAACCTCGACTTGTTGAAGAGGGTAAACAGGATCCATCATTATTTTTAAAAGGCTGACCTCCCACATTTGTTTATGCAAGTGAGTGACAGCTCCAGAGCCAAAGTAGACTGTGCAGGGGCTACCGCTGCCAAACAGAGAGCATCATGGGAAGGAGACGGCCACCAGTGTTCTTCACTCCTCTGCACCCTGTTGTTTCTTGGTTTTAATCAATTAGTTCCAGGAACCCTTAAAGTTGCAGCTGCACACACACACACACACACACACACACAAAACACACACACACACACACACACACACACACACACCACACACACACACAACACACCACACAAACACACACACCACCACACACAACACACACACACACACCACACCACACACACAAACACAAACACAAACACACACACTCACACAAACACACACACTGAAGCAGCCATACAAATTAGTTTGGTGTAAGAGCTGGGTTCCTCCATCCTCCTCAGACTCTGACTCAGTAGCTCTGTGCTTCTCTCTGCTGGACAAAGATCATACTACAACAATAAAATCATGAATTTGTATTCGGTCTACAGTAACTTTATATTCAGAGTTTTTCTATTAAATTGTTCTTTGCATCAAAGCATATAGCAGTGACTGTGGTGGGTGTGTGTGTGTGTGTGTGTGTGTGTGTGTGTGTGGTGTTATGCCCAAGATTTCCTCCAGACATCTCAAATGCAGCCAGTTTACTCAGAGGATGTACATCTATGATCTTTCATAGAAACAGAGACAAATTTGTGCACGGATGATTGAATGGGCTGATATGTGAGCTGAAGCCACAGTGTGCCTGGGTACAGCCTTCAAGCCTCTAAGCCACATGTTTGTAGCATCCGTCTTATCAGCTTGACCCAGGTCACACTTGTACGTGCAGAAAATGCTTTTCCACCCTCTCGCTCTCTCTCTGTGATGTATGTGTGTGGCTACAGCCGTATTAGCAAAAAAAAAATCTTGCCACTGAACTGTCACACTTGTTTTATGATGTTTTATGCTCTGCATCAGGTTTGCTGTAGAAATAATACGCTGGGGGGGAAAAAAATGTAAACAGGGACATTTATCAACTATTGGTGAGCAGGAAATACATGACATGCAAACAGAACACATTTTCAAACACCCATGAGAGATTGTGAGGGGCAACATTCATTTGAGATAGATGATGTTGAGGTAAGATGTTGTCGTGTGCAGTGTCATTCATCTAACATCTGTTCATGAGAGTTGTATTTTACTTTAACATCTTCTCCTGGGCTCTCTGCCATCTCAAACAGAGGACAGTGTGAGTTTACAGTATGAAACAGATAATATCCTGTCACTGTTAAATGTGAGATCAGCTCACTTCTCAAGCATCACAAATGTAAATAAACTGAGTAAACGTTTGCTTGAAAATCCCACATAAAGTCACATTTCACAACAACATTTATTATTCTACAAGTTTGTACTATTGTTACTGCTTTTTATATTCAGGTTTTTATGTTACACATTCTCAAACCGGGGACACATTTCCTGTATTGGACTCTTTCTTAAAGTCCAAACCATGTGTCTGTGAGCCTGTGTGATGTGATGCAGGCTCACAGACACAGGGGCTGCTTTTCAGCTAAAGTTACATAGTCTCAATGTAAAGCACATATAAATCCAGAGACTCATAATAATCACCAGACACATTCAATGTAGTTTTATTATATAAATAAAATATATTAAAAAGGGCAAAGAATTGACAGGTGTATTTGTTTTTTCAGCCACTACTTTTAATCTAAAGAGCTCTTTCTCCTCCGTGCTTTACATTGTAACACAGCATATTGCAGCCATAAATTCACCAGCCATAATATCCTCCTCAGGCAGGGGGAGAAAACAGGAAGGGGGGGAGGGGGGCCCAAACCCCCATATGAAGTTTGAGAGTCGTGGAGTTTTGAGGAGTTAGTCTGAGGTCTGGAGTTATGTAAAATCTTTGAGTGTAGTGATAGCAGGAGGTCTAGCAGCACAAGTATCCAGACCAGGCTGCAGGTGAGCTGAGCCCAGTGAGAGGTCCTGAAGTTTCGAGTCTGCTGGGGCCAACGTGACACCAGCGTAGCCTCCAGCCCCAGCAGCCCCAGCAGGAGCAGAGAGGCCAGGTGGTGAGCATCAAGCAGCTGCTGACAGAGCACGCTCACAGTCTCCCTCCACCAAACCGATTCCCCCTTCTTCATGAGGCCCATCTCAACCTCACAGCCCACCTCCTCCATCCACCAGGACAGCGTCGCTCCCAGCCGCAGCACCCACTGCAGCAGAACCAGACTGTCGGAGAGAGCCAGCTGGCCCAGGAATACAGTGGAGGGCTTGGTGGAGATGTGAGGGGAGCGGAGCAGCAGCAGCGCTCGCAGGCTCAACATACAGCCCACCAGCAGGGGGATGCCTGCTCCATGGGGGAGCAGCAGCACCATCACCAGCTTTAGCAGTAAGAACCGGCACAGCCATCTTCTGGAGGCCAACAGCACTCCTCCTGTGACTGAGCCAAGCCAGCACCAAGAGCATATCTCCCAGACGGACTTTAAAAGTTGGTGTGATCTGCAGAGTGTAACACTTGGAGGTTAGATCAATGTCTCACACACACACACACACACACACCTTACTTTGACACTCAGTATGTCGCTCTGCTTCAAAGGTGTAAATACTTCTCCTTTTTTTTATGACTATGCTCTTGTCTTATCCAAACAGTCAGAGGCCCAGGAAAGCAAACAAGACATCAATACATACTTCAGTTTTACAGGCACCATTTAACACGGCTGAGGGTGAAACTCACCTGGCCTTATCTTTATTGAGTTGGACTGAAATAGTATTGGTGTAGCATTCATTTCATTTAAGGATAACAGAGCCACTAATAGCCATTAAGGAAAGTAAGTATCTAAAGGGAATCTTCATATCCAAAAATCAACAGCTGACTCAGCTGATCATTAAATACATGTATCTGAGAACAGAGAACTGAATCCTGTTTGTGTGGGACTCACCTGTGTATTGGCAGGGAATTGAGATTGAAAGTCATTGTCCCGTTTCACCTGGATGTGGCCTGATAGCTTTTAGTTCCCATGCTAGCGACTCATCCCACCCTGGCTGCCACAGGGCTGAAGCAAAAGCGTGTGAGGAGTCTCTACTCTTTCCTCTTTATCAGCGCTGGTTGCTTCACGTCGACTGGCTCAGTCCACAAATGTCATCATGTCTCGTCTGGAGGTGAGCCAGACTGCATCTGGCTCATGTTGCTGGAGAATCTGAGCCTGAGGGGTTTCCATGCATTACTGACATCTGTGTAAACCTGCGTGTTTTTCCATGCAACAAAGAGCCAGAGAGGAATACCGGGTGGAAGAGTTGGTGCCAGGGAGCGAGCTGCCAAGATCGCTGTCAAGATGCTCTTGAAGAACCTTTCATGCCAACTAATATTGAATTACAACAGGCTCCTGTAACTGAATGACTGCATATAAACCCAGAAAGTGTGTGAGAAATATTGTTGCAACTTGTTTTCGTGTGTTGAATGACTTATCTCCCTGATTCAGCGTCGATGACAACCCACACCTGATGACAGTATTTTGGATGTTGTTTTAGGGCAGACAGGTTGAGGCACAACCGTCTCCACAACAACTAGGGTGTGACCCCATTGACTTAGTAACCGCTGCTAAATGATTTGACGCTCCTCTGACCTGACTAATCACTCAGCTCACTCTGGCATTATGACTTACATTGCTTAATGCACTAGTTGCTGCAGTTGTGACACTTTTTTTCCAAGTCTGCTATTTACATGGTAATTTTTGTTGAATCAGATACCATCGAAATAAATGCTGGTACAGTAGAACAGTTGTTACCCAGCACTGTACCTGGTAGGTACCCAGAATTTATAAAAAAATATACATTTATTTCTTTTTTCTTTTAAAATGTCCAATTGTTTTCTTCCACTGAATCTACATTTAAGTTCCAGTAGGAACCAGTATGTGAACCAGTGAAATTACACTGGGCTGTATTATAAAATGTTACTCACTTCTGTGATGGTTGACTGGGAATAGATGGTTTCACTTTGAGCTTGGTGCACATAACACACGTGATGGTGTTTAACAGGCAAGGCGTGTGTAAGGGTGTGTCACACAACATGTGACTATTTGTGTGCGAGCTTCTTTGCCAACTCCAACTGGATAATGTCCGGTCATGAGACACTATGGACTCACATTTACAAAGTGTGTAGTGTTGCATTCATGAGAGGCCATAGTCATGTTGGATAATATGCAAGAACACAGCACAGCGTAAACTTTTTCCTGCTGAAGTCTCCATCTTATCTAGGGACTAAGTTGGACTTAAACATAAATTTAAATAAAAATGAAAGCTCTGTGTGTGTGTGTGTGTGTGTGTGTGTGTGTGTGTGTGTGTGTGTGTGTGTGTGTGTGTGTGTGTGTGTGTGTGTGATGCAAAGACTAATCATCTTTTGTTTGCTGCCTTCATAACTTAAAAGCCCTCATGAAGTGGTGTGCACTTCACTGAGAGTGCACACCATTAGAGAAACAGTATGGAGCAGCTTCCTTAAGATGAACTCTCAGGAGAGATTCATTCAGAACTTAATTTCTCCTATTTCCCTTCTTGTATTCTGTCAAATAGATTTACGTGTGTGTGCATGCACACACTCAACTATTTTGGTTTCATCTGTGCTGGATAGGTGTGGGAGTTTATCTAAACAAGCCCTGAATGGAAGTATGAATGTGTGACTGGCACCCCGTACAAAGGAATCATATAAAGGATCATCAGATTATATTGTATCTTTCTATGTACAAAGATGCTGCTGTTTTAATAATTTACCATGTTATGTAAAATGTTTTTGTAAAATGAACAAAAAAAAGTCCTTTTATAATGTTTTACATATGCGCATATGAGCTGAAGCACACAGGACATATGACAATCTTTACATCAGCTGACAGACACTCTGTACACTTGCACACAGCGGCTAGGAAACCACAACAGTTGTATAAGTTCTTTGTAAGCTGTTTGTTCCCCGCCTTTGTTCTGTAATGGTTGCCCTATCTCTGAGCTCTACTTTAACAATCCACCAAGTTGCTGAGGTGAATGGTGAGCTTCAAAGATAACCTGACCTAAATAAACATCCTAGTCTGCAGGATATTACCAGCTCTGTCAGAGAAACAAAAAGGAAGATTTAAATCACAACAGATCTCTTTGTTAGTGGACCACCCAGGTATTAACAGTGTTTGACTATAATAGCCCTGCTTTTCTTTAATCTCAGCTCCACAAATCCATCTGTTCAATCATGATGAATTTAAAGTAAATTATTAGACAAGTAGAGTACAAGGCAAGTAAATTACGGCAGGCTAAAAAAAAAAGGAACAAAAAATTATACTAATTCCACAGTGATTGTTGATGTGTGTTAACTCAGGGGGGAGAGAAACAGCTGCTCTCACTACCATGAAAGGACTGGTGCTGCTGGGGGACACAGAAGAGCAGCTGGGCCCAGTTCAAATATGCAGAGTGTCTGTGTCCAGTAAACAGAAATTAACAAGTGCTCATACTGAAAGAACAACATAGGGGGTTTGTCAGGACTTTCCAAAATGCTCAAATCAGTGCTTTCTCATCTGCCTCCTCTATGGTTAAAATATGTTAAACATGTGGTCCGGAAAACACAGTTTCAAACGTCAAGTATTTCTCTATAACATTACAGCTGCTCTAATCAATATTCTTTATATTAACAACAGCTCATATGACTATGTGTGATGTGAAAAGGGTCATTTGAAATCCACAGAGAGCTGCTGCTAAAAAAAAAAAAAGAACAACCTACCATAGTGGAGCATTTAACTCAGGGGCGTGGAGGTTTCCCTCTGAAGTTGGTAGGGACCAAAAACAGAGCTAAAAGGAGAGTGTTCATCTGTTACTTGTTTCCACCTGACAAAGACAATGTTGCTCTGTATTTGCTGGATGAGTTAAGAGGCAACTACTAACAAGTTTGCCAGATTAACTTAAAAAGTGATTATATATCAATGTTGTATTAACAGCTTGTTTCTGCTGCATCCAAGTTTAAATTAAGATGACGCAACTAAACTAAAACTACTTGGTAAAAGTTAGAGAACAATACTGGACATGATCAAGTTCAGATAAAGTTTGTGATTAGAAGAAACCAGCATTGATTGTTACTAGGAGAGACTGCAGCATGCAAACCTCAGTCTCAACTCTCGGGTGTCACACACTTGTTATCCACCACGGCCTCCTCCTCAGGAGCTTTTGAAGCAGCATTGACAACATCACACTGTAACATGTCTCTTACCACAGTGGGTGGTTTCACACAATCCATGTTCCCTTGTTTTTCTCATATGTCCTCTTTTCTTTCAACTTTGAAAAGTTCCTTGTCAGTGCAAGTTTCTGCTGTTGGCCAGCAGATGCATACCTGTAGGAATTACATTCACACAGGCCAGTTCTGCACCTCATGATTTATATCCAGCTCCAACTTTCAGTGCCAATGCAAGGCGTAGTGTGCCCTTTATTTAGAGAGGCAGAAGTTAAAGATGTGAGAATCTCATCACAGATCTGCCATTGTTTACCTTTTCTTTAACCATAGTTTGCAATAACCATAGTCCTTCTCTAACCTTAACAATAGAATAGTTGACATGTGCAGATATTTCAGAAAGCCAGACTGTCACTGAATGGAATCTGGGGTTTTGCAGAAGCATTCAATGATGACGTTCAACGGCATATGCCTCTTCCAGTACACATGGCCACCTCGTAGTCTTTGAGGAGTGTCAATGCAACAACGAGGGCATGATCCCTCACAAACAAACACTGCAAACAGATCTTCCTGACAGCAGATATTTGACTTGTTACACTCATGCCAGGTAAGTAATAATATGAATACTGGCAACATTTCACATCATGTAGGTGTGGCAGCGCGTTTGTTATTGTACGTGCTCGCTAACTGCCAAGCCACAATGGAACAGAGCAATTATCTTTTTTACACACAAAAAAACCTTCAGCTACATGAGTCAAATAAATATCACTTAATCCCTTTTCTAAACAGTAACAAATGACCTGGAACAAAAGTAGAATAAGCACACAGAACAATTTAGTCACTTACTGTAAAATTCCCAATAAATCCACTTACAAATAAAAACAATGCACTTGGTTTATCAAGCATCTCGAGTTCCAAGGCCCCTTATTTGATTTTTACAGATCACTGCAATAGATGTCGACAGGTAGAAACTTTTGGCTATAATCTGTCAACTATTTGGATTTGCTGCCACTTATGTGGAATTTGTTTTAAGTGCTGATTGACTTGATGTATGCCTTTCCCTGGCATGTCTGATGTACTATTAAGTGCCTGTTACATACAATAAATGTACCACATATGGACAGAGATAAAAGCAGGCAACTTCAGGGATCTTAAAATTGGATTACTTAGAAATTACAAATGCACTATCAGCATCTATAAAAAGTGTAAAAACACTTATCACAGCTTTCTGCCCCAGCAGTTAGTCTTTTCAGTGGACTTAATGCACAATCAAGCTAACAGAGTAATAATTCTTTGATCACATAGGGTCTGTGGAGCTGATACAGATGCCTCCTGAGTGCAAATGGGGTTGAATGTTTGCCTTTGCCAGCTGCCCATTAAATGAGTTATAGATGAATTATCCTGCCCTTCCACCACAAAGGCCTTTCAACTGTGAAAATTAGTTTGCCCATTTCCACTGCAGCATCCGCACTCATTTACTAACTGTAAACCACACCCATTAGCAGACGGAAATGCTACGAAAAAAAAAAAATCAAAAATCCCTCCATCATCAGTCAGGAGGGATTGTGTTTGTTGACCCGAGCATCTTCATATCTCTTTGTTTTATCTCCTCACACCATCTGAGCTCAGGTTACACAGCTCTTTATTGACTTGCCCTGAACAGAGCAGCTACACCAAACTCAACAGATTGCCTGACAGGAACATTAAAGGAACTAGCAATGCGGCTTGGTTCTGCAGACCTCAACTGTCTAGACATCAATTATTTTAAGGGTCTCTCAATATAAACATGTCGAAAGGTACAAGATTGTTTAACTACTTCTTGAATTCCAGTATACAAATACTGCTAGAGAAAACCGGTCAGCCAAGCAAATAGAAGCAGCTGAAATAAATAAAGATGTATCATCTTTATCTTTTTAAGGAAAGGAGTTTGTCACTTGATCTTGTGGATAAAGTTGCAGATAAAGACAGACAGAGACAAGTCTGTATGCGCCTGCAAAAGAATGACTGAGTTGAATTCAGGAAAATGTAGTAAAGAAATAGGATGAACAACAGCAACCACATAACAAGAGCAGAACTTTAACTGTTGATGCACATCTCTTTTTTCCCCTCTTTCATTTATCACAATTGTGTGGCTACACTGTTAATGATGTCACTGGCTTTGACACTGTTGTGCCGCACAGTGAAAGTGAAAGACCAGTCCTACTTTGAAAAGCCTCCAAAAGGCCATGCATTATGAAGAGGCAGCCACCTGCTGCAGCGTCCTCCCACTATTGCTGCAACATCTGGCAGACAAGACAGAGCCGTGGAGGAGACACAGTCTGAGGCAGCGCTGCTTTTGTGCACACCAGGAGAGACGCTCTACAGACAGGAATTCAGCGGTAAAGGAAGGAAGGTAAGGAAAAACAGAGGAAGGAATCAGAGGTGTTCTTACTTTAGATAAGGAGAAATCACAGAGAACTGAAGAAACAGCATGTAACTAGGATGTAATATGTTGCGATCCAGTGTTTGAGCAGTGTAAACAGTTTGATGGAGCGTGCTTCATATATCTCTCTCACTCAAAAGATGATTTAATGAGCGACAACTCGGTACAAAAACTTTTCAATACAAAGTGCATTAGTTACACAGATAAACAAGTTTACAGTAAAGTGCAGCAGATTCTGATTCAATGTATGCATTTTCTATTATTAATGCTGATTAATGGAAATTACCTTCAGTTGAGGCTGCCAGTATGTGAGTCACTTATCTATGACCGATGTGCCAATATTTTGCTCTGGTCTGCTCTGGTCTGCTTTAGTAGAATTAAAAATAATGTAACACATCTGGAAATTATAGAGGAATTGTCCTGTACAACAGCAACTGAAATGAAAAATTCACCTGTTTTTTGAAGCTAAGAACTTTTGTCACGTGATAGAATAAAAATGTCTAAAATGCTTATCTGCTTTCTCAATTTCCTTCCAGGGTCTGCAAAATACAGCAGAAAAAAAGAGCTTATCTCTAAAACAATCTCCCACATTACAGTCATCACTGTTCTGTGTTTTTTCCTGCACGTATACTTCATCATGACATTTCTGTTTTGCACACATAATCATGTTATTTCTCTCTGTCTCAGCAGCCACAAATGGGGCAATTGAATCTTACACACGGCGTAGAGAGCAACTCGACTCCTGTCTGTCCGTCCATAGATGACTTCCGTAACCAGGTTTACTCCACATCCTACTCCCTCATCACCGTGTTCGGACTAGTTGGGAACGGCTTCGCCCTGGTGGTACTGATCAAAACATACCGTCAGAGCTCACCTTTTCATGTCTACATGTTGAACCTGGCTGTGTCTGATCTGCTGTGTGTTATGACACTGCCACTGCGGGTTCTCTACTATGTCAACAAGGGACAGTGGAACCATGGGGATTTCCTCTGTCGCATCAGCTCCTACACTCTCTATGTAAACCTCTACTGCAGTATATACTTCATGGCTGCCATGTCTATCACACGTTTCTTGGCCATTGTCTTCCCGGTGCAGAATCTGCGGCTGGTCACAGAGACCCGTGCTCGCCTGGTGTGTGTTGGCATCTGGGTGTTTATCTGTCTCTCATCCTCTCCCTTCCTCATGGCTGGTGAACATTTTGACTCCATCACAAATAAAACCAAGTGCTTTGAGCCTCCAAGTCAAGGCAAAGGTTTGCAGAAACTAGTCGTGCTGAACTATCTGTCTCTGGTGACAGGCTTTGTCCTGCCGTTCCTTGTAATCCTGCTTTGCTATGCCGGCATAGTCCGCACCCTACTGTCTCGCACCCATGCTGCTCGACGCCAGCGGGGCGCAGGCCTCAGAGCCATCCGAATGATTGTCATCGTCTTACTGACCTTCCTCATCAGCTTCATGCCCTACCACATACAGCGCACAGTCCACCTGAACTTCCTGTCCCGGACTGACACCACCTGCTCAGAGAAGGTTGCCATGCAGAAGTCGGTCGTGGTGACGCTGAGCCTGGCTGCTGCCAACTCGTGCTTTGATCCAATGCTTTATTTTTTCTCTGGAGAGGGTTTCCGCAACCGTTTGTCCTCGCTGCGCAAGTCGACGACAGGAAGCAACCTGCACCGCACAACCAGGCCGAAGCCCGTCGCAGCCTTAGAGTCTGGAGAAAACCACCAAGCCAGTTAATTCACAAAAGACAGGAGTTCTTCAAACAAGCAGCTTAGGACAAGTTAAAGAGCTCAGGATGACGTGTTCCCTCATTAATAGTCAGGGACAGAGTTGAGAGATGTGAAAGGCCGTTTTAAGAAAGGAGGGCTGGTTGACTGATGAAGTCACAAGTATTTAAAAAATGTGAGTTACAGTCTCAGGGGGAAGAGCAAAGAGTGTCCAATATTTCAGTGATGTTGATCTGTATTATTATTATGACAATGACCAGTACCGTATTGTGTCACAAGAGTTACTCAACCTGACAAATCTCAGTATAAATATGCGGTGTATCAATGTGTGAATGTATTGAAGATTATGATGTAATATTTCTTTTTATCCAGATCAAGATGCTTGAGTCTTATATATCACACAACCTTGATGTTTACTGAGGACTAAACTCTGCCTTAAACTGACATCTTAGACCTTTTCTTCATTATTATTCTACTACTTCTTTTATTACTCTTATTTTTATCATTTTTTGTGGCAATGTTGATGTTGTAATGGCCATACCCATTTTTCCATCATTATTTGTCAAAATTTTATTATAGTTATTATAATTTCACATGCGCCATAAAATTACTTATCATATAATTATTATAGTTAATTTTAATTACCCAATTGGGATTTGAATGTGTCTGATTTTTTATTATTTCTGTGTAACTTTTACGTTTTAATTCTCAATTTGCAATTTTTTTATTTTTTATTTTACCTTTTATGCACCTTAATCTGTTTTGAGATTTAAAACATCAACAGTGAGGAATGTAAAGGACTCATTCAAGAATTATGCTGATTTACTTTCTTGAGTTGTGAAGATTGATCTGCAGCATGAATATGAAGCTGCAGCCAGCATTTGGTAACAATCTTCTCGACTTACTGTATGCAAAAAAAATAATAAGATGCTGTATTTATAGTGTATGCAAACCATATGTCATGTTGTGTATAATAACCATAATAAATCATCAAATGTCCCAGTTCACTATGATCACATGTACGCCTCACTGTAATGGAAATCCAAAAGAGTTACACACTTTGTCCACTAGGTGTCCCACCAGCACACGTATTGATACTCCACCATTTAAATCAACACTGACCACTAAGTCTACTCTATGATCGCTGTTTCTTTGAGATGAGAAAAAAAATGAGTTGCTGTTTTCATTCTTAGAAGTTGTAGTACACGTTTACCAATTGAGTGTGTGCTAAATGTATAAGTCATAAAACTGTCTAAATGTTTTAACTGAAGGTATAAAACGTGCTATTTTCAGAATAGAGTAAGAGCACATCCTCATTCTGATATAAAGCCACTGCTTTCATACATAAATTTAACTTTGAGATTAATTAGAAACACAAAACAACACTGACAGACCAAACTGTTGAGGCCGACGCTGGTTTGAACATAGAAGGCCACTGTATGACCACTTCATAAACAGATAATATCAAGCACATGATCGTCTCCCTCCTCCATTTGCACAAAAAGATGTTTGTTTCAGTCTGCAAAGCAGGACCATCTTAGAGATGGGATGTTCCTCGCAGCAGAGATACTCACCATACAGGAAGTAAACGAGAGGCCCTGCTAAATTCCTAGTTTCTAAAGAGGTTATGAAAAACAGTGCACCCCATTGCATTTTAGGAAAAATTGCTGATATAACTGTATTCCTTTCTTCTGTGCTTGAGTTTTGCTGTTTCTTAAGTGTTTTTTCTTTTCAAAAGTTTTGTCTTTGGTAATTCATTTTTTCTTTATACATGGGAATCACAATACAACAGGATTTGTACTGTGATTCCCATGGGATTCGAACAACGTTAAAATAGCATGGGCAAAGATATCCTGACGTTTAGTCTTCTAGCATGAGTCAAGCCCGAAATGATATATTTCCCATAGTGATACAAAAAGGTGTCTCAGTGTTGGGGCACCATGAGCCGCCTGAACAGCTTGAATGCTGCTTGGCATTGATTCTACAAGGCTCTGAACTCTACTGGAGGGATGAACACCATTCTTCCAAAAAAGATATTCCCTCATTTGGTGTTTTGATGATGGTGGTGGAGAACGTTGTCTAACACATCAGTTCAAAATTTCCCATAGGTGTTCACTTGGGTTGAGATCTGGTGACTGTGAAGGCCATAGCGTATGATTCACAACCCCTTGTGACCTGTGGATGGGAGCATTGTCAACTTGTTTCTCCACTCATTTTTCAGGTTTCTCCTGTAATTAGTCTGACATCTGTAGGTCAGCTGTTCTACTGATGTAATGGATAAACATAAACTAATAGTATAACTTGATATGACAGTTTGTTAGAGGGGCCCCAGAGAGTGTGATTCAGAGACCCCAGAGAGCTTCAGAGGAATTTTCAAAAGAGTAATTTAATACCCCTTGAAAATTTTGTCTTCGCTTCAGTGATGTACAGATGTATACCAGGACACTGTGACATCACCATTTCAACACTAGGTTCAAGTTTAATTCACTTATACAGATGGGGGACAAACTAAAGGTAAAATCTAAATAAATGAGTGGAGAAACGGCAAATGCATGATGCCTCCACAGAGGGGACGAGGGATCACTGAATGGTTTGATGAGAATGCAAATTATGTAAATTATATGTCATGGCTTTCACATTCAACAGATCTCAGCCTAATTCAACACCTATGAGAGACGTGTCAGACAGCGCTTAACAAATGAGGGAATATTTTTTGGAAGAATGGTGTTCATCCCTCTCAATCGGTGGCCCAAAACCTTACTAAGACACTTTATGTTGGTTTTTTCTTTAAAGACTTCCTCTGATGAAAATCAGGGGTTTTTAACCTTGTTAACACGTCCATATGGTGTTTTTTATGTAATACAAGACAAGATATCATGAGAGAAATTAGCACTCAATGCCATGAAAGTGTATTTCCACCTTGTAACTGCAGTGAACCAATGACAAGCTCATCATATTATATTATAATAACATAGCTTAAAACGTCTGGGGAGGGACGTTAATTTGTCACCTGTCTGTACTCTATAGTATCTTTCATTATGTGCTCTCTGCTTGATTAACAGCCTTGTTTTTCAACCAGCTAGCCCAAATAGTCACAAGTCATGTCACATGTGTTGGTGTTATTACTTGAATCTTATATCATATAAGGGTTCCTGGCTATGCACTATTCCCCATGAGTAGTAAATTAACAAGCAAATTGAAAGGAGTTCCCTTTTAGTACAGTATCTCAAGAGTGGTTCACTGTCTCCTGCATGAATTGAGTTTTTTTGGCTGCGTGGGGGCAGCGCAATAAGATGTAAATACAAACAATGACATAGTATCACCTCATAAAGTTGATATAAAGTTGATTCAATCTTCTTTTAGCTCTGTCTTGGTCTCCACCAACTCCTGAGGGAAATATCTGGCTCTTTGGCTGCTGAATGCTCCACTATGTTCACCAGTTAGTCATTAACTTTGTCTGTGTCCTGTCTGGTGCAGGGCTGGTAGCGCACTGTCGGGTTAATTAAAATTTCTTTCAAGAAAATAGCTTAATAGTCGGCTGCTGCTGGAAACAACACTGATGAGAGTTGTGAGACTGAACACAAAGATCAATTGTTTCAGCCCTTAAAATCAAAACAATAATCAATTGATTTCCTCACTATGTGCGATCTCTTTTGCATAGTCATCAATTGTTATCATAAAAATATTGATTATAGCAGCTTTAAACATTAATAATATTCAGGTCTTTTTTCGTGAGCTTAGGTATGTTAGTTGATACTTGCATGTAGAAACCATCCTTTCCTAAATGTAAACAGAGGAGACAGGGGAAAATTGCAGAAAATTGTCCATTTCTTCATGCTTGTCACAGTTCATGGCTGGCCTGCAGTTAAGGTCCACCGCAAACCTGATATTTGGTGCAACCAGACTTGATTTGCCACATAGCCTGGCTGCCCCCACCCTGTTGATGAATGTTGGAGGGAAGTAGCAAGCAGCCAGTGTCCAGAGTCCAGTGAGGCCTGAACCTATGTTGGTATGTGGACACAATATAAATCCAAGCTGACAGCACAGAAAGCAGAATCCCCAACATTAGATCTCTTGTCTGTTGCATTTCCTATCCCTAGGTACAAAGCAGTCAGAGGTTACTCATGTCAATAACTCTACCATGTGCACTTTAGTGACGTCACATCACATGCTTCCTGTGAACTGGCTCAGATTTTTCATTAAGTTGCCATTTCAAACTTTCTTTGAAAACATGTAAAGTAATTTACTGGGAAACAGGATGAAAGACACAACCTGAGAGTCGCTGTTTCTAATGAGCGCATGCATACTGTGTGTGCATGTTTGTGTGTGTGTGTGTGTGTGTGTGTGTGTGTGTGTGTGCGTGCGTGTGCGTGTGTGTGACACTTACACTTTGACTATGAACATTCAACCCACATCAAAGGCCACATGCTGATTGCATTTTTTAGGCCAGGCTGAGAGGTGATCGATGTTAGGTTCAGGCTGGAGGTAAGTGAGGCAGACAAACAGCTCACAGACAGCTTAATAGCAGTTTGGAGCCTCAGGAGCGACTGAAGTCAAGCTGTGTCAGGCTGTTACTCAGACATGTGTCAGTCAGTCATCCATTACACACAGAAAACAGACAATAACACTCTTCAGACTGCCCGCTGCATCACATCATGTGCTATCACCCACACCAGCTCCCTGCTGCTTTATCCCAGCCCTCACTTACACAGTTTCTTCTTGCTCTAACAGGATGCTTGTGAACAGTGCAGCAGGGTCCACTACAGTGGCTGTGTATTCTATTGAAAAGTATTTTGAGCCATCAGTGTATTTTTGTCCACGCTGTGACGCACACACAGAGAAAGGCCCCTCAGTTTGCTAAACTTTTAAAAATGTTATCACCGCATCACTTCTCCAAATCATATAAAGCCTTTTGGCATTGATACTGTTTTTCACGGAACAAATAAACATGACTACATGGACTCAGAATTATTCCATTTTAAAAATGGGGGATTTGTTTTTGTTTTTCCCTTATTTTTAACACAGTCCCTCTGAAAGTTTGATATGTGGTATTAATGTATTCAGCAGAGAATAACCGAGGTGATGTCAGAAGGATGAAAAAGAAAGCTGATATATAAAAAATGTGTTTACGTTCTAGTGCTTGAAGAGAGAAAACCCTATTATCAATCCTAGAAATATATTGCGGTACAAAAGATAATTTCTATCCTGCTTCATCTTCATTTCTTCATAACTTGATGTGATATTTTAAATTAATTAAAACTGTTACACTGTCTTCTGTGGTTATAGTGCAGCTGTTCATAACAGCCACTACAAAGTTGTCATTCTTCTGCTCTAACATCTTGCAAGGGGCAGGACTTACAAAAGCTTTTTTTCCTCAAATGAACAAGACCTCTCTGGAGAGTTGAATATAAACTTAAGAGAGGTTAGCGCTGAAAGCTAAAGCTTTACAGAACATTTGTAGCAACTCTTGTGCTCTCCAAATCCAGTTCAGTGTAAACCAACACAAAGACCATAACAAAATTCAAAGACCAATAGAGTCATTGACTTGCAGATGTTTCATGAAGAAAAAACTTATCTTTCATCACGTTTCACTCACTTCCTTCATGATTTAGCCATCCAAGTCAATGTCATCTAAGTTGGTTTAATTTTAGCTACAGGGAGTCCACAGCTGTGGTGTGGTGTGGTGTATCTCTCCAGATACTAGATCTGCAATAGGAGAGGAGTTTTACGCCAAAACATGCAAATGGATGTTTGGTAGAAACTTGAGTTTGGAAACAATTATGCAAACAGAAAGCTCTTTGTTCGGGGTCAAAAGAAACAATCGCTTTGCAGCTCTCAGTTTGAGTCTTTCTCTGACAACTAAGACAGAAAACTTCCTTGTAAATCATTGAGGAGGAGTCCAGTGATGTGCAGTGAAACTGGGTCATTCTGGTTATACCCCAGTTAGATTTAATCAACACATTTTTGCTGCTTGCGGTAAAATGTATTTGGTCTGTTTTAAGGCCTTTTGTCC